TCACCCCTAGGTCCTTTTCCGCAGAACTGCTGCCTAGCCATTCGGTCCCTAGTCTGTAGCTGTGCATTGGGTTCTTCCGTCCTAAGTGCAGGACCCTGCACTTATCCTTATTGAACCTCATCAGATTTCTTTTGGCCCAATCCTCCAATTTGTCTAGGTCTTTCTGTATCCTATCCCTCCCCTCCAGCGTATCTACCACTCCTCCCAGTTTAGTATCATCCGCAAATTTGCTGAGAGTGCAATCCACACCATCCTCCAGATCATTTATGAAGATACTGAACAAAACCGGCCCCAGGACCGACCCTTGGGGTACTCCACTTGATACCGGCTGCCAACTAGATATGGAGCCATTGATCACTACCCGTTGAGCCCGACAATCTAGCCAGCTTTCTACCCACCTTGTAGTGCATTCATCCAGCCCATACTTCCTTAACTTGCTGACAAGAATACTGTGGGAGACCGTGTCAAAAGCTTTGCTAAAGTCAAGAAACAATACATCCACTGCTTTCCCTTCATCCACAGAACCAGTAACCTCATCATAAAAGGCGATTAGATTAGTCAGGCATGACCTTCTCTTGGTGAATCCATGCTGGCTGTTCCTGATCACTTTCCTCTCATGCAAGTGCTTCAGGATTGATTCTTTGAGGACCTGCTCCATGATTTTTCCAGGGACTGAAGTGAGGCTGACTGGCCTGTAGTTCCCAGGATCATCCTCCTTCCCTTTTTTAAAGATTGGCACTACATTAGCCTTTTTCCAGTCATCTGGGACTTCCCCGGTTCGCCACGAGTTTTCAAAGATAATGGCCAATGGCTCTGCAATCACAGCCGCCAGTTCCTTCAGCACTCTCGGATGCAACTCGTCCGGCCCCATGGACTTGTGCACGTCCAGCTTTTCTAAATAGTCCCTAACCACCTCTATCTCCACAGAGGGCTGGCCATCTCTTCCCCATTTTGTGATGCCCAGCGTAGCAGGGAGGATGACAGAAAGGAACTGCTGCAAAATCCCAGAGTAATGGCTTTAGAAAGACACAGATCCAATTGGTATACCTCCCGGAAAAGATCAGCAGGGTAATAGAGAATATACTCTGCTTCCCATGGATTCCCTGCTTCCAAAAAGTCACGACTGTGTAAGTATGGAAGGAACTATTGAATGAAAAAAAAAAATGCTAGAAGATTCTTTAACTTAGCCCGTGTGCACATGCTCTGAGAGGGGAAGCCATAAGATTCAGGGAAGAACTACCAGGGTCTTTTCAAAAGCAAAAGAGCCATCCCTGTTGACCAACGTCCTGAGTTTTTTATCTCCACAGCACCCAATACTTTGACCTCATCTTCAAGTTACATAATTCATAACTTTCAGTAGCTGGACAGAGAGTTTAAGTTACATTCCTTGACATTTTAATGTCTTTGTCTCCCTTCTAAACAAAATCTACTGATCTGCTTCAGAAGCCTGCTTTTCAACTGTAAGTTTTGATAAAACAAATCTGAAACACCCCTGCTGACAATTATTAGCTTCAAAAGTGTTAAATAGTTTGGGTTTCTGCCCAAAATCATCCCTCCAAACTTCACGTATTTGTACAAAGTACAGTTGGAAACCTCCAGGATTGAGTCCGATTACAATTACCGTGGGGGGGTGGGGAGAAGCGATGCTTCCTTCTTGGTTCTTTGCAGGTAAATTGGCATTTTAAGAGTTGGTGATGGGACCCTATATTTTATACCACACTTGAAACTGTTGTTTAGTATCATAGCTGCCCTCCAAGTTTCTTTTTTGTGTGTAATCAGTTGTTTCTGTCACAATAATTGTGTGGAACCCAATATATTTCAGTCTTACTGCTAATTTAAAAGTATTCATTTTTCAAGAAAATCCTTAATTTTGAGTTGCCTTCAAAGTTCTCTCTGTTCCCCCACCAAAGAAAAAAAAATTAAATGTAGGTATGAGCTGAAAAACATTCCTTCGGATTTTCAGCTCCCTAATGAGGAGGATACTGATTGGGAACATGTTCAACCATCTTCAGGGGTCAGTCCTGGGGCCGTTTTTGTTCAATATTTTCATTAATGATCTGGAGGATAGCGTGGACTGCACCCTCAGCAAGTTTGCAGATGACACTAAACTGGGAGGAGTGGTAGATATGTGGAGGGTAGGGATAGGATACAGAGGGACCTAGACAAATTAGAGGATTGGGCTAAAAGAAATCTGATGAGGTTCAACAAGGACAAATGCAGAGTCCTGCACTTACGACGGAAGAATCTCATGCACTACTACACACGAGGGACCGAACGGCTAGGCAGCAGTTCTGCAGAAAAGGACCTAGGGGTTACAGTGGACCAGAAGCTAGATATGCGTCAACAGTGTGCCCTTGTTGCCAAGAAGGCTGACGGCATTTTGGGCTGTATAAGTGGGAGCATTGCCAGCAGATCGAGGGATGTGATCATTCCCCTCTGTTCGACATTGGTGAGGCCTCATCTGGAGTACTGTGTCCAGTTTTGGGCTCTGCACTACAAGAAGGATGTGGAAAAATTGCAGAGTGTCCAGCGGAGTGCAACAAAAATGATTAGGGGGCTGGAGCTCATGACTTATGGGGAGAGGCTGAGGGAAGTGGGATTATTTAATCTGCAGAAGAGAAGAGTGAGGGGGCATTTGATAGCTGCTTTCAACTACCTGATCGGGGTTCTAAAGAGGATGGATCTAGACTGTTCTCCGTGGTAGCAGATGACAGAACGAGGAGTAATGGTCTCAAGTTGCAGTGGGGGAGGTCTAGGGTGGATATTAGGAAAAACTATTTCACTAGGAGGGTGGTGAAGCACTGGAATGGGTTACGTAGGGAGGTGGTGGAATCTCGTTCGTTTGAGGTTTTTAAGGTCAGGCTTGACAAAGCCCTGGCTGGGTTGATTTAGTGGGGGATTAGTCCTGCTTTGAGCAGGGGGTTGGACTAATGACCTCCTGAGGTCCCTTCCAACCCTGATGTTCTATGATTCTGTGATTCTAACTCAGTTGTCCTGGCATGACCAAGACCATACATTTAGTGATGCAAGCTGAGCTTTTTAGAAACCGATCTGCTGAATCACATACTTTAACGGATGTGCAGCAAAACTGAAGACTGTAAACCCACCAAGACTCCAGCTCAAGGACTGATGCAGTGTGTGCACTGTAATAGCTACTGTATTCCATTCATAAGCACTGGAAAAATAGTCAGTTTGCTGCTTTGTGGTAAAGAGATGACAATGCATTTTAAGAGAGAAATCTCAGAGCTGTGCTTTAGTTAATGGACAATCCTGAAATCTCTTGCTTTTCTTTTTATAAAAGTGTTATGATGCCATCTAATGTTAGTCATAACACAAATTGCATACTGCTACACAATGCAGTGGTTCTCCACCGGGGGCAGGTTTCAGGGGGTCCTCCAAGCAGCCAGCATTAGACTTTCTGGGGCCAGGGCAGAAAGCCAAAGCCCCACTGCACAGGGCTGCAGTCTGGGGCTCTGACTCCCGCCACCCAGGGCTACAGCTGAAGCCTGAGCAATGTAGCTTTGCAGGGGCCCCTATGGCATGGGCCCCAGGCACAATTGCCCTGCTTTCTACCCCTTTTATAAGTGGAAAACCAGTTGTTGTGACACAGGTGGGCCATGGAGTTGTTAGAGCGTGTTGGGGGGGGGCTCAGAAAGAAAAAGGTTGAGACCCCCTTCTTAAAAATGGCTGTGTAGAAACTCCAGACTACTTTTATTCATCTCTCCACAAGGAGGACTGGTGCCGCTGAGGGTTGATTGGTTAATATTAGTCGTAGCTATCTCCTTTTGTATACTCGTCTGGGACTTGATAGTTTTCAAACTTCACTTAAACATTGGGGCTGTAGTTCCACTCTGGGCTCCTTACTGTGAAGAGCTCCTTTTGAATGGAAACAATCATTAGGGTTGAAAGTTGGATTTTTCCCCCCTGAATTGTAGGTTAATTCACTGTCTTACAACTTTCCCCCCGTAAATGTCACCAGAGCTCTAGTTCTGGCTCCCAGATTTCTGTGCATCTTCCTGGGCCATGCAGTGTCTAAGATCCTCAAAACTTAACATCTGAAAGCAAACCTCTCCTTCTATATATCTGGTTTATTTAGGCAGGTGGATTAGAAACTCCAGTGTTTTTTATACACCTTTGCTCTATTGAATTCAAGCAGTGATTTAAAATTTACTCCAGCCTGAGTAAAATAATGTCTACAGCAAATTCTATGCCTTTGTAGATCACGAACTGTAATAGAAATATCTGAAATGCATGTTGAAAGGCTGGTTGGGTATGTATGTGGAACAAAGTGTAATCTTTGGTTTCAGAGTAGCAGCTGTGTTAGTCTGTATTTGCAAAAAGAAAAGGAGTACTTACGGCACCTTAGAGACTAACAAATATATTTGAGCATAAGCTTTTGTGAGCTACAGCTCACTTCATTGGATGCATTGTAGTGTAATCTGTGGTCCTAAGCTTATGTTTGCAGTATTGCTGTAACCATGTTGGTCCCAGAATATGAGAGAGATAAGGTAGGTTAAGTAATATCTTTTTTTGGACCCACTTCTGTTGGCGGAAGGGACTAGCTTTTGAGCTTCACAGAACTCTTCTTCAGGTCACCTACTACATTTGAAAGCTTGTCCATTTCACAAACAGAAGTGGGTCCAATGAAAGATATTGCCTCACCTACCTTGTCATAAAGTTTTGCAGTAATACTCAGCAGGCAAATCTGTATCTAACATTTTTCAGGTGAAACATCAGTGGTGGTAATTTCTGTAAGTAGCGTTCGATTCAAAATCAGTCTTGATTCATAGTCCTGTTACCTGAATACCTAAAATGACACATTGACGTACCACGTATGCTGAATAGAAAGCTTTTCCTTAGTAGTATTTTATTATATTGTAAAAAAATGAAAAATATTTGTATCAAATGACTGGTATAATCAAATGGACAACTTGGATGCAGAATACAAATTCTGATTTATTACATTTGACTAACCTTCCCCTTCGGCTCTCCCTGGGCAGGTTTGATAAGGGACGGATTTACACATTTATTGGTGAAGTGGTGGTTTCTGTGAACCCTTACAAAAACTTGAACATTTATGGTCGTGACATGATTGAGCAGTACAAAGGACGGGAGTTATATGAGAGGCCCCCTCATCTCTTTGCAATTGCTGACGCTGCTTACAAGGCCATGAAGAGACGATCAAAAGATACCTGCATTGTAATATCAGGTAAGGTGGAAAAGCCTCTCCTCACTACCTGAGGACTAGTTGACCCTCCTTGTGAAACTCAAGGAAGGAAGCAGAACAATTTGTCTAATGCTACATTTGCTAAAGGGAGAATTTCACTATGTTCAAAACTTTAATTTGCGTATGAGCCTGCATCTATATCATTCAAATACAATTGTCTAATTCAAGAACTTGTAGATTAAACTAATTATTGATCCATATTATACTCCATGAGGGAATTCTGCTCCAAAAAATTAAAAGTTCTGTGCCAAAAAGAAAAATTCTGCACACACTATTTTAAAATTCTGCAAATTTTATTTGTCAATGAATATATGTAGAGGTTCTGGCATGGCAGTGGGGAGCACAGGCCACTGGCTGCCTGGAGGTGGGGTGAGGCTGCACCAGACCCTGATACAGCCCAAGGGCTGGGTCTGTCCCAGAAACACCCCAGGACCCTGACCCTCTCCCACATGCACTCCAGGAGTGGGCAGACAGGCTCAGCCTGGCAGGATCCAAGTGTGGAGGGGCTTAGTGTGGGGGGAATCCATGTGTGGGGTGAGAGAGTTCTGTCTGGAGCAATCTGGATGTGAGCGGCTCAGTGTGGGGTCCGAGTGTAGGAGGGATCTGGATGCATAGGAGCTTGTTGGGAGGGTTCTGAGTGCAGGGGCAAGAGTGCAGGTACTCTGCAGGGGGTTTCAGGTTAAGGTGTTTAGGGCTCCACAGGGGGGATCTGTGTGTGGGGGTCTCAGCGGAGCTGATCTGGGTGCAGGGGTGAGGGTCCGGATGCAGGGGAAGCAAAGTAATCTATGAATTTTGCACATGCACAGTGCCGCAGAATTCCCCCAGGAGTAATGTTGTTGTGTGGTGATAACTTGAATGTGAGTCCCTTCCTTATAACACCCGCAGTCTGGTTGAAGAATGGTTTCCGGAAAAAGCCTGTAGCATTCAGTCCTGTCCTTTCTTTGAGGACTCCCTTCCACCTTAGATGACTTCGGTTAGTGTTTTGTCTTCTGTTTTGATGGCCAAAGCTAATTGCTTGCCATGACTCTAAACAGTGGGGGAGATGCTCATAGAGGGAACTATTGCCATTCAGATCCTGGCACGTAGTTTCCATGGTATCCCTATGCTCCAGCAGCCTGCGGAGCAAGAGACCCAAGATAGCTGCTGAACAGTAGTCTCTTGTATTACAGTTCACAGCATTGCTGCCAGCAAGCCACTGCATGCCAACCTTTTCCCTCTAACAATGTCCCTTCTGATCCTCTGCCTGCTTGGCCTTACAAACCTGTGAAATCTTTTATTCGTTACTGGTTTTAAGTTAGCATAGTAATGGCAGTCAGGCAAGGTTACATTGGTATCAAAAACACCTCATATCTCAAATAAATAAGAAAACGTAGAGAAGCCATCAAAGCAGAATGACATGATTGCAATGATCAATGACTTACAGTATCTTGATTTTTTTTAAATCTCTTCTTTGCTTATGGTACTACTTTGCTGTTTGTGTCTTCAGGTGAGAGTGGGGCTGGGAAAACTGAGGCCAGTAAATACATTATGCAGTACATAGCAGCCATCACCAATCCCAGTCAGAGAGCAGAGGTTGAAAGGTAAGGGCTTTACAGAAACTTATGGGGGGAAAAATAGTTTTGTATCCTGATACCATGATACTGGGCACTCTTGATATACCTGTCTTCTTTTCTTCTACTTTATAATTGCATGAAGTTTTCATATCAATTGATCCTTTCCTGCAGGTAAAGTTTTGGACTTAGGGAAAATTTTGAAATTTAGATAAATTGCTAACAGATAATTGGCTAGAAGTGTTGGGAGTATAACTCAAGCCTTTGCACTTCTAAATTGTAAACAATGCCCTGAAATTAAGTTTCTGCTGAGGTATCAGACACACTTCATGGAACTAAATGTACTTGTACATTCAATTCATGACAAATGGGATGTTGAACAGAAGCAATACACTCTAATTTTAGTCCAGCATTTCATGTTCATGCCTATCAGGCATACTGAGTAAAAGTATAAAAGTCTTTAAATAAATGAACATGGCATACTGACAAAGAAAATTAAAATCCCACCTTGGAACTAACTCTCGAACAACTTGCCCACCGTGCAAGAAACTGAGAGAGAAACTAGATGAGTATTTCAGGGGTGCAGACTCAAATTTAGACAGACTAACCAAGAAAGTAAATTCTACAACCAAAGGTTTTCCAATGAAAATGCTCACTCTCCAGCTCCCCATTCATGTCTAGGGATTGTTAGCAAAAGTTCCCAGCTGATTTTCCAGTGTACCACCTATGCATGTTATCTGTCTAAAGTAGATTCCTGGTTACAGGGAATAAGTTATGTATTACAATGTGTTTGAATTCAGCTAAATTTAAATTTATACATCTAGGATCAAAGAATTTGGGCCATACTTACAGGATGGGGAACTCTACCCTGGTAAGCAATGACTCTGGAAAAGATTTCGGGGTCATACTGGATAATCAACTGAACATGAGATCCCAGTGTAATGCTGTGGCCAAAACAGATAACAGTCCTGGGATGCATAAATATGGAAATCTCAAGTAGGAGTGGAGAGGTTGTTTTACTGGGTGCTGATGTGACCACTGCTGGAATACTGTGTTCAGTTCTGGTGTCCACAATTCAAGGATGTTGGAAAAATTGGAGAGGGTTCAGAGAAGAGCTACAAGAATGACCGAGGGGTTAGAAAACCTGCCTTATAGAGACACATTGAGCTCTTTGTAAAATACAACTGGCTGTATTTTAAAGAAGCCTTATTGAGGGCTCAGGAACAAACCATCCCAAAGTGCAGAAAGAATAGCAAATATGGCAGGCGACCAGCTTGGCTTAACAGTGAAATCTTTGGTAAGCTTAAACTAAAAAAGGAAGCTTACAAGAAGTAGAAATTTGGATAGATGACTAGAAAAATATTGCTAGAGCATGCAGGGGTGTAATCAGGAAATCCAAGGCACAATTGGAGTTGCAGCTAGCAAGGTATGTGAAGGGTGACAAGAAGGATTTCTACAGGTATGCTAGCAAAAAGAAGTTGTTCAGGGAAAGTGTGGGACCCTTACTGAACGCGGAGGTAACAAAGTGGCAGATGATGTGGAAAAAGCTGAAGTACTCAATGCTTTTCTTTGCCTCAGTCTTCCCAGACAAGGTCAGCTCCCAGGCTGCTGCACTGGGCAACACAGCATGGGGAGGAGGTGATCAGCCCTCAGTGGTGAAAGAACAGGTTAAGGACTGTTTAGAAAAGCTGGCCATGCACAAGTCCATGGGTCCAGCTCTAATGCATCCAAGGATGCTGAGGGAGTTGGCTGATGTGATTGCAGAGCCATTGGCCATTATCTTTGAAAATTTGTGGTGATTGGGGGAGGTCCTGGATGATTGGAAAAAGGCAAATATAGTGCCCATATTTTAAAAAGGGAAGAAAGAGAACCCAGGGAACTACAGCCTCACTTCAGTCCCCAGCAAAATCATGGAGCAGGTCCTCAGGGAATCCGTTTTGAAGCATGTGGAGGAGAAGAAGGTGATCAGGAACAGTCCACATGGGTTCACCAACGGCAAGTCATGCCTGACCAACCTGATTTTCTTCTATGATGAGATAACTGGCCCTGTGGATATGGGGAAAGCTGTGGATATAGTTTGACTTTAGCAAAGCTTTAGTTATGGTCTTCCACGGTATTCTTGCCAGCAAGTTAAAAAAGTATGGATTGGATGAATGGACTATAAGGTGGATAGAAAGCTGGCTAGATTGTCGGGCTCAAAGGTTAGTGATCAACGGTTCGATGTCTAGTTGGCAGCCGCTATCAAGCGGAGTGCCCCAGGGGTTGGTCCTGGGGCCGATTTTGTTCAACATCTTTATTAATGATCTGGATGATGGGATGGATTGCACCCTCAGCAAGTTTGCAGATGACACGAAGCTGGGGGAAGAGGTAGATACGCTGGAGAGTATGAATAGGGTCCAGAGAAATTGGAGGATTGGGCCAAAAGAAATCCGACGAGGTTCATCAAGGACAAGTGCAGAGTCCTGCACTTAGTAAGGAAGAATTCCATGCACCACTACAGGTTGAGGACCAACTGGCTAAGAGGCAGTTCTACAGAAAAGGACCTGGGGATTACAGTGGACGAGAAGGTGGATATGACTCAGGAGTGTGCGTTTGTTGCCAAGAAGGCTAACGGCATATTGGGCTGTATTAGTAGGAGCATTGCCAGCAGATCAAGGGAAGTGATTATTCCCCTCTATTCGGCACTGGTGAGGCCACACCTGGAGTATTGTGTCCAGTTTTTGTCCCCCCACTACAGAAGGGATGTGGACAAACTGGAGAGAGTCCAGCGGAGGACAACGAAAACGATTAGGGGGCTGGGACACATGACTTACGAGAATAGGCTCAGGGAACTGGGGTTATTTAGTCTGTAGAAGAGAAGAGTGAGGGGGGATTTGATAGCAGCCTTCAACTACCTGAAGGGGGGTTCCAAGGAGGATGGAGCTAGGCTGTTCTCAGTGGTGGCAGATGACAGAACAAGAAGCAATGGTATCAAGTTGCAGTGGGGGAGTTCTAGGTTGGATATTAGAAAACACTGTTTCACTGGGAGGGTGGTGAAGCACTGGAATGCGTTACTTAGGGAGGTGGTGGAATCTCCATCCTTAGGGCTTTTTAAGGCCTGGCTTGACACAGCCTTGGCTGGGATGATTTAGTTGGTGTTGGTTGTGCTTTGAGCAGGGGATTGGAGTAGATGACCTCCTGAGGTCTCTTCCAACCCTAATATTCTATTCTATGATTCTTTGAATTTATTTAGCTTAACAAAGAGAAGGCTAAGGGGCAACTTGATTACAGTGTGTAAGTATCTACCTAGGGAACAAATATTTAATAATGGGCTATTCACTCTATCAGAGAGAGGTATAACAAGATCCAATGGCTGGAAGTTGAAGCTAGGTAAATTCAGAGTGGAAATAAGATGTAAATTGTTAACGGTGCAAGTAATTAACCATTGGAAAAAATTTACCAAGGGTCCTGGTCTGTTCTCCATCCTTGACAATTTTTAATCAAGATTGGATCTTTTTTTGTAAAGATCTGCTTTAAGAATTATTTTGGAAAAGTTTTCTGGCCTGTGTTATACGGGAGGTCAGACAAGATGATCACAGTGCTCCCTGGGAATCTATGAATCAGGACACATTGAATCTTCTTGTAGAATATAACCCTGCTGTTACTAAAGCCCTCTGAAAAGCATGATTTATGTCTGGAAAAAGATTGCACTAGATATCTGGGAACACACTACCTACACTTGTGCTGTTCTCTTGCCTTTTCTGCTTATCTGTACTAGAGTGAAGAACATGTTGTTGAAATCCAACTGTGTGTTAGAGGCCTTCGGCAATGCCAAAACCAACCGTAACGACAACTCCAGCAGATTTGGAAAATACATGGATATCAACTTTGATTTCAAAGGAGACCCGATAGGTGGACATATCAATAACTACTTGCTAGAAAAGGTAAGCTGAGTTTGACTGTAACGTGCTAGGCTGTCTTCCCATGTATGATTTCAGAGTAACAGTGTGTTAGTCTGTATTCGCAAAAAGAAAAGGAGTACTTGTGGCACCTTAGAGACTAACCAATGTATTTGAGCATAAGCTTTCGTGAGCTACAGCTCACTTCATCGGATGCATACTGTGGAAAGTGTAGAAGATCTTTTTATATACACACAAAGCATGAAAAAATACCTCCTCCCACCCCACTCTCCTGCTGGTGATAGCTTATCTAAAGTGATCACTCTCCTTACAATGTGTATGATAATCAAGTTGGGCCATTTCCAGCACAAATGGCCCAATTTGATTATCATACACATTGTAAGGAGAGTGATCACTTTAGATAAGCTATTACCAGCAGGAGAGTGGGGTGGGGGGAGAGAAAACCTTTTGTAGTGGTAAATACCCATTTTTTCATGGTTTGTATGTATAAAAAGATCTTCTGTACTTTCCACAGTATGCATCCGATGAAGTGAGCTGTAGCTCACGAAAGCTTATGCTCAAATAAATTGGTTAGTCTCTAAGGTGCCACAAGTACTCCTTTTCTTTTTTCCCATGTATGATTATTTGTAAAACATAGTATTTGCCATTTTAAATGTCTCCTGAACTTACTTCAAATAGTTTATTGAATATCCATCATAGGATGACTGTCACTTCAGAACTAGACCGTAATTTTTCCCCCCAGGATCAATAAAGGTATGGTTGCTAAAATTAAGAAACTGTCAAAGCACCGCAACCAATTTGTTGCAGCACAAACACCTTGAAACCATTGTTTTCAGAGCTCATTCCATCATAGAACTCTGGGGATAAATAGAAAGGTTTCAGAATGTTTTGTCTGTGCTTTGTACCCAGAATAAAATCTGATATTAATTTACCATGTGTAAAATTGCTTCCCACAGACATTCTTGCACTGAAGTCTCACTGGTCAAGGAAAAGTTATGAAGATTTCTGTGTGTCTGCAAGAAGTGGTGGTGTGGTTTTAGAAATATTGCATTGAACTGATGCCATAGCTTTACATGATCATCTGTTAACTTTTATTACATATTCCAGGAGAGTGATGGAAACAATGTCTTTCATGTCATTTTAGACTGTACAGATTTGACAGCATCTGGCAACATTTTTAAACTTCTGACTTTATTTCTCTGGAACCTAGTTCCAGAATAAACATTTTGTTGTATTTAGTGTTTAATATGTACTGCTTTGACCCTAGTGACACACTAAGGGAAAATATTGTTTGCAACTGCAATGGCTTGAACTCATAAGGCTTTTTATAAAATGTGTTTGACTGCACTATGCTAAGTTCCTGTTTCTGTTTAAAAAAAAAAAATGTTATTCTGAGGCTTTAATGTTAGCCCAATTGGGTGATGAGGGCAGGCAATGATTTTCCATTGCTGCATATAGAGGCCTGATCTTAAGTCAGCTACCCTTGCATGATCATACAAATCGTCATAATTACAACAGCCACCTCACTAATTCTCACTGACTTTTTGCTAATCCACTAACCTGGTAATTCTCACAGGAAACCTAGTTGTTTCACTCTACTTCTCAGCAAGGATTTAATAGCAAAAGATGGCTCTGTAGTGAGCTTTTATTACTAAGACATTATTGTTACAAAATATTCTGCGCTTCACCAGCTAGTTAAGGATTTAAACAAAACTACATTATGCTATTCAAAGGCCTGGTCTATACTACAGGGGGAGATGGATCTAAGTTACGCAACTTCAGCTACGTGAATAACGTAGCTGAAGTCGACGTACTTAGATCTACTTACCGCGGGGTCCACACTATGCGATGTCGACTGGAGATGCTCTCCTGTCGACTCCCCTTGCGCTTCTCATTCAGGTGGAGTACAGGAGTCGATGGGAGAGCGATCCGCGGTCGATTTAGCGGGTCTTCACTAGACTCGCTAAATCAAACGCTGATGCATCGATCACTGTGCGTCGAGCCCCTGGTAAGTGTAGACAAGGCCAAATTATACGTTTTGTCATGTGGTATCAGTGACTCCTGGCTTAACTTACTCATTATTTTGCAAAATTCTGTAGTTGGCAATGGTGCTGAGTCACTGTTGTGAATGTGAAGTTCCACTGTAGTTAACAAGAATTCCCCTAAATCTTACACTGTGGGACTAAGATTCAGTGAAGATCTGAATGACTCTTGCTCCTGCCAACATTGGTCTTGGGTTAAAAGGGAAGCATAACTTGCCACTGCTTTACCTGTTCTGGTATGTTAGCAGAAGAGTTTACCACAAGAGTTCCCTAACTGTGGACCCTGGAGCACTTGCTGGTGATCAAGTGGTGCTGTTTCCTATTTCCTATTAGATGCTCAAAATAGTTTCTTATGTGAGTTTTGCATGTAAGCAATTACCATGGTCACTACAGGGGGAGTCATCTTTAAAAATATCCTATTGTTTGTATAATTGAATAATCTGTGTATGACTGGGCTGTACACTCCATGGGACAGGGACTGCCTTGTGTCATACACAGCTAGTAGTGATCAGTAATACATTTGTAGGGTAAAAAGTGCAGGAAGAATTTTGGTAATGATAGTGAATTATTGCATTGGCAGACTTAAGTAAAATATTTAAGCACACTACTGGTATCTAAAAATATGTCTTTGTATCTCCCCCCCAGTCCCGAGTGATTGTGCAGCAGCCAGGAGAACGAAGCTTTCACTCTTTTTATCAGGTTAGTGTTTGCCTACTCAAACACATGGAAATTAGCTGGCTCATTCCTCTGCTCAGAGGACATAGAGGCAAAGCAATTAACACAGTCCCTCTTGCATGCTTTATGTAAAGGGGTGCTCTGTGTTATCACACTTGGGGCCAGTTTTCTGTTTTTTCAACCATTTCTAGGTTGGCTGAAGATGCCTAATTTTGGAGAGGGGGCCATGGAAAGGTGGAATATTCCTCCTCATCCTCCTATTTATTAACACATTTGTAAACTTAGTAGTACTTCTGAGCATATGGTACTATACCTGGACTTTGGATTAGTACTTCATTAGCAGTACAACTAATGTCCTCTTTTCTCATGAGGCTTCTGTAATTTGGATTGAGCTAGTTTCATGGCATTGGGTACATTCATATCTTAACTTAAGTAAAAACATTAAGTGCCTTCAGTATTGTTTGTGGTAAGCTGATGCCTCTGTGTAGGCTCTTCTGGGGAAGAAGATGCCCCTCATCATACCTCTTTGTGAAGAAAATGATCAACATACCTGCCTTACTTTGTTCAGCACAGTTTCTGATATTTGCCACCATGGTGTATACGGCACTTTGTTTCCAACATGTGGCAATTTGAAGATGTTTCCATTGGGGAAATTACATGTGTTTGGTCCTGTATGCTTGCCTGAAAACATCTGTATGATGATGCCCCTGTGCAGAGGTTTTGACTTCTTTTCAAGATTGTTGCTTTAACAGCCTTAAAGGCAACCACCTGGAAGGTGTTTTTGGCTCTGTAACGGTGGAGACTGTGTATATGATAGCCACAATGCTTACACAGCCTTTCCCTGTGACTGGAAAATTCACTGCATGATGCTTACTGGCTTCAGGTGCCAAGGCTGTTTGCATATTAGTAATGGAAATAGAAAGTTGTGGTCATGCCTAACCATGCATGAGGAAGAAGGAATTTATTCAATGTAGCAATAAATGAGTAACTTATGATGTTACACCGACTATGAACATACTGGATGGTGTTTGTTTTTTTGATTGATCGTTTTTTAAAATACTATTTGACAGCTTCTCCAGGGAGGTTCTGATCAGATACTACGCTCTCTACATCTTCAGAAAAATTTCTCTGCATACAACTATATCCGGGCCGGAGGGCAGTTAAAGGTGAGGATGCAGTCAATTAGTTTCAGGTAACTTGTTCTAAAGTTGTAAATGCATCTGGAAGTGGTATGTTGACTTTAGCTGTACATCCTTGCTCACAGTTATGGGAAGATATCGTAAGAGAAATGAAGAATTCCAGCCACAATCTAAAAGACTGGGCAACTACCAGGCTGTCACCCCCAGCTGCTGTGGTGGATTGCTGTGCCTTGTTGCTGCTTCCTCCCTGCAGCAGCTGCCAGTATGATGAGAGGGCAAACAGCCTGGGTGTGGAGTACAGGCAGGCAGTAAAGGGGCTCTAAGAATCAACCTCAACAGCTCATGGTCTAAGTGGCTTCATATAAATTGGTTTCGTGTAGGTATGTGGGACTTCGGTTATTGATAGCAGACCCCCAAACAAATTGGTTCCCGATGCAGGCACCATTATGACCTATTTTCTATCTCATGCCTTTCATGGAATCTCCTTTGTATCAGTGATACAATCCAGTCTTCTTCAAATGCACGTGTCCATTCCACTTCAGGTTTGTACATGCCCAATGCACTGTTGGAGATTTTTCCCTCAGCAGTACCCATTAGGGCCGTGCATGCACCATCTGCTGCTCTGTGCTGCTGCACTATGTTATAAAGGGTAGAGCCACACCCAGTCCCCTTCAGTTCCTTCTTACCGCCCGCGACAGTTCTTGGAGCATGCTATGGTGCTGCTGCTGCAAATTTTCTTCATTTTGCATTTGTATATAGTTGGTACTCGTTAATAGTTTTTGTTAGGATAATGTAGCATTAGGTTTCCTTTATTGGTGTACTTTTTTGGTACTCTTTGATTCCTGCTGTGTGAGTACTGGTACTTGGTGTTGGGGGTGTGCCTCGGTCCCCAGGCTTCAAGCCCTGTGATGCCTGCAAGAAACCAGTGCTGGTTAGTGACCTGCACTTAAAGTGCCTGAAGTGCCTAGGAGAAGCTCATGATAGAGATGGTGCCACATCTACAGGGACTTTAAACCCAGAACTAAAAAGGAAGGGAAGTCACACTAAAACACCTTCTGATGGAAGCAGTCCTGCACCCACACTCAGAGCTTCCCCATTCGGAGTGTGTACCAAGCATATCCGCTTCAGTTAAGAATGCTTCTCCAGTTTTGGCAGACTCTTGATGCCAGTCTCTTTCTCTGGTACTGAGGAAGACACACCAGAAGATGGCATCGAAGGACTTGGTATCTGGGAGATCAAGGTCCCTGACACCAAAGTCCAGCAATTGTGCTGGGGAGGAGGATAGATTGTGTTAGTGATGCGGTCTTCGTTGGCTTAGCAGTAGCAAGAGATGGTACCATTTGAAACATATGTTGTGGAATGCGACCTTTGGAGTCTCTCGATACTGTGGGCACTGTAGCACCTCCTTGTACACTGCTGTCGAGAGGCAAACTGCAGTGATCTCACTAATGCCCTTTTCTCCAGACTACTGACACCAATTCCTGGCACTGACAGGAGTAGCTCCTCTTTAGTTGGATGAATCCAGTTCATCCTCTGAGTTAGAAGTTGGCTTATACATGTCACGGCTGTGTCACATAGTCACCACCCTGATACCCAGCAGAAGCTCTGTCTTGGCTGACTGGGAAGGAATTGAGCTCTGCACCATACCAGTGGCCATTTTGGAACTCTTGGAGGTTTCTACCTGCCTCAAAGTTGTCTCCACACCCTTCTTCTTCTTCTATATTTCCATGTAGAGGATCCTATTTCCTGCTTAGGACTTAAACCTGGTATTGACAAAGCTAATGGGTCCTTCCTTTGAACTGTTATCCACCTGCTCATTACTCCATGTCCCGATGAAGGTAGCCTTTTTGGTGGCAATCGCCTTGGGCAGGGGAGTGGGTTAATTGTGAGCCTTAGTGTCTGGTCCTCTGTATACAGTCTTCTACAAGGACAAATTATACCTGTTCCTTCATCTGAAGTTTCTCACCAAAGTTGTCTCTCACTTCCACATCAATTAGGCAATATATTTGCCAACTTCCTTCCTGAAGCCTCATGCTCATAAGGATGAGGAAAGATATAATATGGCCAATGTAACTTTTCCAAACAACGTGTTTGCACTTGCTTGTGAGTCACCTGAAGAGGAATGGATGTGTGCAAACTGTTCCTAACCTGTTCTGTAACTGTTCTTTGTGAGGTGTTGCATGTGTCCATTTCCGGACCTACCCTCCTTCCCCGTCTATATCAAAGTCTGTCTAGTAAGAAGAAATGAGGAGAGTGGGAGTGGGAGGTGCAGTAATGTGAAGCACCAAATGACATATACGCCACTCTGATGGGTATGCTGAGGGAGAAATCTCCAATAACAGTGCACCAGGTGTGCACTCACCTGAAGTGGAATGAACATGTGTACGTCTCGAAGACCAATTATGGAACCGGTTAATAACCCTTTCTGTCTCATCAAAGGCTGTATGTCACTTACGTCTAACCTCAGTAACGTGGAGCAAACAGAGCTGGGCTCTATCTGAAACATTTGAACAAGTACCTGAAGGAGACACATCTTCACAGTCCCATTTTGTCATCCCAGAAATAATTCTCCTGTTTTGCCTGTAGTGGGCAGCTTTTTCAACTCTGATCATAGAATCATAGAATATCAGGGTTGGAAGGGACCCCAGAAGGTCATCTAGTCCAACCCCCTGCTCGAAGCAGGACCAATTCCCAGTTAAATCATCCCAGCCAGGGCTTTGTCAAGCCTGACCTTAAAAACCTCTAAGGAAGGAGATTCTACCACCTCCCTAGGTAACGCATTCCAGTGTTTCACCACCCTCTTAGTGAAAAAGTTTTTCCTAATATCCAATCTAAACCTCCCCCACTGCAACTTGAGACCATTACTCCTCGTTCTGTCATCTGCTACCATTGAGAACAGTCTAGAGCCATCCTCTTTGGAACCCCCTTTCAGGTAGTTGAAAGCAGCTATCAAATCCCCCCTCATTCTTCTCTTCTGCAGGCTAAACAATCCCAGCTCCCTCAGCCTCTCCTCATAAGTCATGTGTTCCAGACCCCTAATCATTTTTGTTGCCCTTCGCTGGACTCTCTCCAATTTATCCACATCCTTCTTGTAGTGTGGGGCCCAAAACTGGACACAGTACTCCAGATGAGGCCTCACCAATGTCGAATAGAGGGGAACGATCACGTCCCTCGATCTGCTCGCTATGCCCCTACTTATACATCCCAAAATGCCATTGGCCTTCTTTGCAACAAGGGCACACTGCTGACTCATATCCAGCTTCTCGACCACTGTCACCCCTAGGTCCTTTTCCGCAGAACTGCTGCCTAGCCATTCGGTCCCTAGTCTGTAGCTGTGCATTGGGTTCTTCCGTCCTAAGTGCAGGACCCTGCACTTATCCTTATTGAACCTCATCAGATTTCTTTTGGCCCAAGCCTCCAATTTGTCTAGGTCCTTCTGTATCCTATCCCTCCCCTCCAGCGTATCTACCACTCCTCCCAGTTTAGTATCATCCGCAAATTTGCTGAGAGTGCAATCCACACCATCCTCCAGATCATTTATGAAGATATTGAAGAAAACCGACCCTTGGGGCACTCCACTTGATACCGGCTGCCAACTAGACATGGAGCCATTGATCACTACCCGTTGAGCCTGACAATCTAGCCAGCTTTCTACCCACCTTACAGTGCATTCATCCAGCCCATACTTCCTTAACTTGCTGACAAGAATACTGTGGGATCCTTACAATTTAATCGGCAATGTACTCCAAAGGTCTTTTCCAGGATTATGGTAGTATCAGTATTGGCTTTAAAGAAGGAAATTAACTTCTTGGTCTTTATGGACAACTCTGTTCGGTGTGATGGGATCCCAGGAGTGCCGTCTGAGACTGCGGGACTGCTGTGCCCCCTTAACTCTCCAGCCTGCGCTGTCTCTCACAATGCTTTGCTAGTGACAAGCAGCAAACCCCTCCAGGTGCTGCTGTTATTCAGCACAACCGCATGTGGAGCCCCACACCCAGCTAGATTGCATGAGTGCTCCCAGAGCCACTCATGAATCACACAGAGAAAGGCACCAGCCAAATCCTCCCAGCTGCGTACCTCAGGAATATATTGCCTTCCACTGCTCAAGATGCACTGCTCAGTTTAATTATTGATTCACCACTTCATCAGTGAAAAGTGAATATACACCCGCCTTTGTAAATCTGACAAACACTCTTACCAAACACTTCAGGCAAGCTCAAGGGTAAAGATAAACAGTAAAAGAAGTTTGACTACAAAAGATAGATTTTAAGTGATTATAAGCGACGGGCAAAAAGTCAAAGTGGTTACCAAAATAAAATAATATATATAAGCATGGAATCTAAACTCTCAACCCTATTAGACTGGGCAACATCTAGATCAGGGGTGGGCAACCTCGGCCCGGAGGCCACATCTGGCCGTTCAGACATTTTAATTCAGACCTTGAGCTCTTGCTGGGGAGTGGGGTCCGGGGCTTGCCCTGATCCAGCATTCCAGTCAGGGGCTTGCCCCGCTCCGGGCATGCTGTGGCTCTGCACAGCTCCCAGAAGCAGCGGCATGTGCCCCTTCCAGCTCCTATGCATAGCATCAGCCAATGGGGCTCTGCAGCTTCCATTGGCTGGGAACTATGGCCAATGGGAGCTGCAGGACGGTGTCTGTGGATGGGGCAGTGTGCCGAGCCACCTGGCTGTGCCTCGCATAGGAACTGGAGGGGGGACATGCCACTGCTTCCCGGAGCTGCTTGAGGTAAGCGCCGTCTGGAGCCTGCACCCCGACCCCCTCCCCTGCCCTGATCTCCCTCCCGCCCTCCAAACCCATTGGTCCCAGCCTGGAGCACCCTCTTGTACCCCCAGACAGAGCCCTCACCCCCCTCCACACTCCAACCCTCTGCCCCAGCCCAGAGCCCCCTCCTGCACCCTGAACTCCTCATTTCTGGGTCCACCCCAGAGCCCACACCCCCAGCCAGAGCCCTCAGCCCTCCCGCACACCAGCCCCCAATTTCATGAGCATTCAGGGCCCGCCATACAATTTCCATACCCAGATGTGGCCCTCGGGCCAAAAAAGTTTGCCCACGCCGATCTAGATTAAGCAGTTTTTCTCACCTCACTGGATATTGCAATTCATAGTACACAGGTTTCACCCTTGAAACCTGGGCCAGTCCCCTCTGTTGGAGTCTTCAGAGTGTCCTTGTTGCTTGCAGGGTAGGAGGGGGAAGGAGAAAAGCCATGCACGGGGCCCTTGTGTTGTGTTTTATACCGTTAATCCCATGTGCTTGGAGAACACAAGTCCAGGGCATGTCTGGTAGGCGTTGCTGAGTCACAAGGTGAAGCGATGCCCTGGTGTGTGTCCTGTGAGTGAGTCATTGAATTGTAACTCCTCTGCTGGATAATGGCTGGTGATGTCTGTTCAGCACCCACCTGGGCGTTGGTTACCCCCGTGTCATTGTCTCTGGAGGGCTTGTATCTGGGTGCCTCCCAAACCCACAGCATATTTTAGTGAAAACCATACAATACATTCTCATAACTTCACATGCCTTAATATGGAGATGGGTGACAGGAGAGAGATCACTCGATCATTACCTGTTCGGTTCACTCACTCTGGGGCACCTGGCATTGGCCACTGTCGGTAGACAAGATACTGGGCTGGATGGACCTTTGGTCTGACCCAGTATGGCCGTTCTTATGTAATGATATACCTATTTAGATAGAACCGTGGGTTTCAGCAGATCATAACCTTCCCCCTGATACCTCACACGACCTGCTTTATATGCAATATCACAATGATATATAAATGAGGAATGTGGGGATTACAGAACACTCCCCCAAGATATAGAATGTCGTACAGGGGTCTGTCGAGAGAAAGCAAAAGCAAAGTGATTCATGTTTCTGCATGCTACTACACACCAAGGCAGACTAGTTTACCAGGCAGAAGTTAAATTAAGAGTGTGTCTTCACTCATTGTTATTCACTTAGTTTGGATCAGTGATTGATCTCTCTGCATCTGGAAACCAAAAATCAAGTGCCCCATGGCCTCTCCAAGTGTCAGGACTTGTAATTCAAGTAGGTGAACGATTTCATATCAGGCAGGCCAAGATCTTTGTTATATGCTTTCCTACCATTCCACTGCTTCTTGGGACCATGCACAACCTGCAGTGTGGCAATGATATTGTTTATGCCTCTCTGGCTGAAGAGGCTATGGTTTTCAGCCTGATTAACTCCGTGTTGAATCTCCTGATCCTTCTGCATTGTATAGGAGGTTTGCTATGACAAAGATCAGTCATACATCTTTAGGACAAGACAGATTCAAAATGGTTACTCATATGAGGTGATTAACACCCTCATGAACCCAGAAAGAAGTCAATGACCAGAACTTATTCTATTAGCTGGTACAGAATTCATGGTGTAAGGATGGAAAAACAGTTTTGAACAGTCTCAGGTTCCTCCAGGAGGGCCTTAATGTGGTTGTATAAAAACTTCCACGCTATAGGTCAAGTCTCCACATTATGATGTACACATTACGTTCAGGAACATAAAGTTCAGGGTAAATCCTGACATCAAATGCTTCCTGTGTGTCACTGCCCCACAAGGTCATTGAACAAAACCTTGGGACCTCAGCATCAGCATCCAACAGTTCATATCGCTTTCTGGATAAGTGTTTTGCTGCTGTCAGCTAGTTTTGTAGCTTAAGTGATAGCAGACAGTGGTCCAGTGCTGAAAGTTGAGATTAAACCCTGTCTCTGATGCTTGATGGGAGAATTGTACCTACCGTTGTTCTTTAAAAAGAAGAAAAAAACAGCTTTTTGTTGGTAACTTCCTGTCTTGAGAGTGTTTTTAGGTTGCAAAGTCAAGAAGTTGGAATCTAGGAGCCTACACAACCATAATTTGGCTCTCTTGTGCATATGCATTGTGATGGTCTTTAATTACGTGATCACATACTATTTCCAGCTTCTTGCAGATTATAGGATTGATGTACAAAGGAGGCCGAATTAAATTGCATTGGTAACTGTAAAACTGGCATTTCTTAACTTTGAGTGGTTGATTTTGCAATCTAAATAACTCTGAAGGGTTTTTTGGTATGTGATAAATAGAATAGATAGTGGCCGTGACCTACTGTTCTGGGCAACATTCACTTTTTTTTAGTAACACGTCCGTGACATCTGTGGTGGTTGCATAATGGCTGCCACGTTATTTCCTTAAAGCTGTACCATGGTGATGCTTTATATTCAAGAATGTTTGTCTAGACTGTGAAAGGTACTAACTTAAATAAATCTCTATTTTCCTTAGTGTTCCATCAATGATGGTGCAGAGTTCAAAGCAGTGGCAGATGCTATGAAAGTGATAGGCTTCAAACCAGAGGAGGTTCAAACTGTCTACAAAATTTTGGCTTCCATTCTTCACTTGGTGAGTTCCCTGCATGTGGGTTTGTGCAAGTTGTTCTTCCGGGATTGCAATGGCAGGGCAGCCAGGCTGTGTTACTTGTGTTATTTCAATAGTCGAGTTGTTCTATCAGATGCAGTTGGAAGTGCTGTTTGGTTGAAAAGTCAACACTATTCCTGCCTGCCAGTAGTGGGTCAAATTTCCCTGTGGGACCATTGTGATCATCTAGTCTGACCTTCTGTATAACACAAGACTTAGAATTTCCCCACAATAATTCAGACTAATAGCTCATCAATCTTCATGTCAGTTTTTCTGGTGATGTCATTAAACTGGAAACTGTATTCTAGGACGTTGTGGTGAGCTGTAGTGAAGATGGAAATGATAAATATAAATAATCTGTGGGTTCTGCTTAGTGTCTTTTAATTCCAACTCCTCTCTAGACCACTGGCTTGTAACAGTCTTTGCCTGATTAAACTTATTTGAATTAGTTTGTCATAACTTTGTTCCTTGAATCCTGCTAAATACTAAAGGCCAAATCCTTCTTTTGGTCACAGGCAAAGGTAAAGCCTCGGTTGAGGGGGTGGTCAAGAAGGGTCACATGCCCCTCCCCAGACACCCTAGGGCAGGGGTTCTCAAACTGGGGGTCGGGACCCTGCAGTGGGTCGCAAGGGTACATGCGGGGGTCGTGAGCTGTCAGCCTCCACCCCAAACCCCGCTTGCCTCCAGCATTTATAATGGTATTAAATATATTTAAAAGTGTTTTTAATTTATATGGGCAGTCACACTCAGAGGCTTGCTATGTGAAAGGGGTCATCAGTACAAAAGTTTAAGAACCACTGCCCTGGGGGAGGCACATTCAGCAGGGAACCACAGTAGCGAAAGGAGCAGAACGTGGGGCTGCCGGGTGGCCACATGCAGGCAGTTCCTCCAGCATGGCTGTACTGCCCCCAGTCCTGCCCCAGCCCTTCCACACAGCTTCGACTCCTAGGGTCTGTACAGCCCCAGTGGAGGACAGGGTTGGGGCCTGGGGGTGGTACTGAGACAGCCAGGTCAGAGGAGCTGCCGGTGTGGGGCCTCCTTCCTTGCGCTGCGAAGGACAGAGCCCCGCTCCAGTTAATCTTGAGAGAGAGAACCGGGGACCCAGGGTAGAGCGGGGGGCCCAGGCTGGGGGTGGGGCAGGGAGGAGTTGGCGGGGGGAAGCCACATGCCCCCCTTAGCTGGTGCCCCCCTTTGTGTCCCTTGCCTGAGTTGCCCATAAAGGGAGCATACAGTACAGAGGACAGTTTAGCCTGAATTTAGAAATGTGCTAATGGTGTTTCACTTGTTGATGAACTGAACAGCAAATCACTCCCTGGAAATGAAGTGCTTACTTCAGCTTTGCTGACAAAGAATCCTAGAATATCAGGGTTGGAAGGGACCTCAGGAGATCATCTAGTCCAACCCCTGCTCAACTCCAACTAAATCATCCCAGCCAGGGCTTTGTCAAGCCTGACCTTGAAAATCTCTAAGGAAGGAGATTCCACCACCTCCGTAGGTAACCCATTCCAGTGCTTCACCAGCCTCCTAGTGAAAAAGTTTTTCCTAACATCCAACCTAAACCTCCCCCACTGCAACTTGAGACCATTACTCCTTGTTCTGTCATCTGCTACCACTGAGAATAGTCTAGATCCATCCTCTTTGGAACCCCCTTTCAGGTAGTTGAAAGCAGCTATCAAATCCCCCCTCATTTTTCTCTTCTGCAGACTAAATAATCCCAGTTCCCTCAGCCTCTCCTCATAAGTCATGTGTTCCAGTCCCCTAATCATTTTTGTTGCCCTCCGCTGGACTCTTTCCAATTTTTCCACATCCTCCTTGTAGTGTGGGGCCCAAAACTGGACATAGTACTCCAGATGAGGCCTCACCAATGTCAAATAGAGGGGAACGATCATGTCCCTCGATCTGCTGGCAATGTCCCTGCTTATACAGACCAAAATGCCATTAGCCTTCTTGGCAACAAGGGCACACTGTTGATGCATATCTAGCTTCTCGTCCACTGTAATGCCTAGGTGTTTTTCTGCAGAACTGCTGCTAAACCATTCGGTCCCTGGTCTGTGGCAGTGCATGGGATTCTTCCGTCGTAAGTGCAGGACTCTGCATTTGTCCTTGTTGAACCTCATCAGATTTCTTTTGGCCCAATCCTCTAATTTGTCTAGGTCCCTCTGTATCCTATCCCTACCCTCCAGCATAGCTACCACTCCTCCTAGTTTAGTGTCATCTGCAAACTTGCTGAGGGTGTAGTCCACGCCATCCTCCAGATCATTAATGAAGATATTGAACAAAACCGGCCCCAGGACCGACCCTTGGGGCACGCCGCTTGATACTGGCTGCCAACTAGACATGGAGCCATTGATCACTACCTGTTGAGCCTGATGATCTAGTCAGCTTTGTATCCACCTTATAGTCCATTCATCCAGCCCATACTTCTTTAACTTGCTGGCAAGAATACTGTGGGAGACCGTGTCAAAAGCTTTGCTAAAGTCAAGAAATAACACATCTACTGCTTTCCCCTCAGCCACAGAGCCAGTTATCTCGTCATAGAAGGCAATTAGGTTAGTCAGGCATGACTTGCCCTTGGTGAATCCATGCTGACTGTTCCTGATCACTTTCCTCTTCTCTAAGTGCTTCAGAATTGATCCCTCGAGGACCTGCTCCATGATTTTTCCAGGGACTGAGGTGAGGCTGACTGGCCTGTAGTTCCCAGGATCGTCCTCCTTCCCTTTTTTATAGATGGGCACTACATTAGCCTTTTTCCAGTATTCTGGGACCTCCTCCGATCGCCATGAGTTTTCAAAGATAATGGCCAATGGCTCTGCAATCACATCCGCCAACTCCTTTAGCACCCTCAGATGCAGCGCATCCCGCCCCATGGACTTGTGCTCATCCAGCTTTTCTAAATAGCCCTGAACCACTTCTTTCTCCACGGAGGGCTGCTCATCTCCTCCCCACACTGTTCTGCCCAGTGCAGCAGTCTGGGAGCTGACCTTAGAATCATAGAGTATCAGGGTTGGAAGGGACCTCAGGAGGTCATCTAGTCCAACCCCCTGCTCAAAGCAGGACCAATCCCCAACTAAATCATCCCAGGGCTTTGTCAAGCCTGACCTTAAAAATATCTAAGGAAGGAGATTCCACCACCTCCCTAGGTAATCCATTCCAGTGTTTCACCACCCTCCTCGTGAAAAAGTTTTTCCTAGTATCCAACCTAAACCTCCCCTACCTCAGCTTGAGACCATTACTCCTTGTTCTGTCATCAGCTACCACTGAGAACAGTCTAGACCTTGTTCGTGAAGACAGAGGCAAAAAAAAAAGCATTGAGTACATTGAGCAATCTTGTCTTTCACTACTTGCTACAGGGGAATTTGAAGTTTTCAGTGGATGGCGACACGCCTGTGATTGAAAATGGCAAGGTTGTGTCGGTCATTGCAGACTTGCTGTCAACAAAGTCTGACATGGTGGAGAAGGCCCTGCTTTTTCGAACTGTAGCTACAGGTCGGGATGTCATTGACAAGCAGCACACAGAGCAAGAAGCCACCTATGGCAGAGATGCTTTTGCAAAGGTGAGTCTGAATTCTCTTTCTACAAGTCTGTGCTAGTTTGTCATGCAACAATTTCCAAAACCAGAATTTCCAATTTTCAGTTTTTGCTCTTTAATTTCACAAATGATAGGAGCCTATGGATGAATGAAAGTACAGTAATTCCTCGCTAAATGGTGTAGTTATGTTCCTGAAAAATGCGACTTTGGATTTGCTTAACATCGTTTCCCTTAATTTCCTCATAAGAATTAAATAGGGCAGGATTAGGTTCCAGGGAATTTTTTTTCACCAAACAAAAGGCTATATTATATATATACACACAGTATAAGTTTTAAACAAACAATTTAATACTGGTACAAAGCAATGATGATTGTGAAGCTTGGTTGAGGTGGTGAAGTCAGAGGGTGGGATATTTCCCAGGGAATGCCTTACTGCTAAATGATGAACTAGCAATTGTCTGAGCCCTCAAGGGTTAACTCGTTGTTAATGTAACCTCACACTCTACAAGGCACCAGGAATGGAGGGAAGGGAGACCGCACACACTGTGTGTGTGAGAGAGAGATGCGCATTGCTCCTTTAAGTACGCTGACCCCACTCTTAAGTACATTGCCTTTTTAAGTTAATCAGCAAGCTGAGATGGCAACTGCTGCCAGGAAGCTCCCTCTGTCCTGAGCCCTGTTGTGTGTCCCCCCTGCTCTATGGAAGATGGGGTAAGCGGCGTGCGGGGGATACCCTGACATTAGCCCCCTTCTTCCCACCCTCTCCCCGTGGCACAGCAAGCAGGAGGCTCTGGAGAGCAGCTCCAAGGCAGAGGGCAGGAGCAGCACAGGCAGTAGGGGGAGGGACAGCTGAACTGCTGGTAATTGATAGCCTGCTGGGTGGCTGCTGCACAGGGAACTTAGGGGAGCTGGGATCTATTAGTGGGGCTGCCGGTCTACCTTGGTTCCAAGCCCCCACCAGCTAGCTGCAATGGGCTGCTCTTCCTGCAAGCAGTGGACAAAGCAGGCAGCTGCCAAATGATGATATAAAAGAGCACTGCACAACTTTAAACGAGCATGTTTCCTAATTGATCAGCAACGTAACCACGTTAACCAGGACGACTTTAAGTGAGGAGTTACTGTATTGCAGAGTCTGAAATCTGTGTCGCAGAAGTTACAGCAAAGAGTGCAGATGCTTAATGAAGTTGTTAGAGAAGGTCACAAGGTTTTGGGGGCTGTTAGTCTGGATGTTGCTTCTTCAATATGTATTTTTAGAATATTCACTTAATGAAAGACTTATTCTTCTAAATTAATGGGTTCAGCAGAGTTAAAATTTTATCTGTGAGCTAGGGCAACTCACAAAACAATTTTGGCTGCAGGGTTTGCCAGGACGCTGGAAGTCTCTGCTCTGTTAGTTCATGTCTTGATACAATGGAAATGCAATGAAATGAGATTGAGAGACCAGATTGACAGTTCTAGCTGCCTGCTTGCTGTCAAGAAGAGAGCAGTGGAATGGCATGACATCCTTAAACACACATTAAAGATCATGACAAATGCTACACCTTTGGTTGTTTGGCAACGACAGCAGCCTCATTTGGAAGGGTGATAGTGAGGGACTATTGGGAGGACACTTAACTACTCACATTTATTTTAATTGTGGGAAGGAGGAATGGAGGGAGTTAAATGGTGGTATTGGGTAAGGGCTCACATTTGGGCCTGTCACCTTGAATGTCATTTTAAGGTTGTAATACTTGCCGGAACTGCTTAGTACAGGTGTCACTAATTTGAATGTTTAGATTTTGAAGACAGAAAATGCTCTTGCTTGTGACTACTTCTTGAAAAGTGAACGATGATAATATTTCATCGTACTATATTTTGTGGTGTTAAGTGCTCAGTTCTGATGGGTGTGAGCACTGTATAAAAATTTTAATCCTGCATTCATCTGCTCACCTATATTTTCCATATTCATACAATTCTCTGATGTGGAGATAATTAGGTAGGAAGTAGGTAGCAGAATTGGTAGAGCTGTTTAAGATTCTGTTCTCATAAACGAATTTAGAAAGTAATACAGCAATGTTATATGGAAAGAAAAGGAGGTTTCTCAGATCAAAAAGTCTGTTTAATTTTAGCAGGAGTTTTACCAGTGAATATGGGTTTAATCTGAAAACCAGCTTGAACTAAACTACTACAGACACTAGTATAGAGACCTGACAGAAATACAGCTAAATCAGTTATGAGAGAGATCAGAAATTAAGCCCAATGTTTGTTCTCCTTGTAGGCTATATATGAGCGCCTTTTCTGTTGGATTGTCACACATATCAATGACATCATTGAGGTGAAGAACTATGACACCACAATCCATGGGAAAAACACAGTCATTGGAGTCCTGGATATCTATGGCTTTGAGATCTTCGACAACAACAGGTAAGCTGCATTGCTAGAGAAGGAGATGCTTCATCTTTCCTCAAATGAAAAACTAATCAATTCTTTCTCAACTTTATTTTTGTAGTTTTGAACAGTTCTGCATTAATTACTGCAATGAAAAGTTGCAGCAGCTTTTTATTCAGCTAGTTCTCAAGCAAGAACAGGAGGAGTACCAGCGAGAGGGGATTCCCTGGAATCATGTGAGTGAATTGGCAGTGGGGGTCTGGTTGAATCCAGTGTACCATTACAGGGCATGGTCCTGAAGTTGCTTCACATGTAGACTCCCATCAAAGTCAGTGTGAGCTCTGTATCCAGAGCAGATGCAGCATCAGGCTTGTTATCCATAAATCAGACTCTGGAAAAAGCAAATTGAAAATATATGACACCCTTTCTATACCTTTTGTGGCCTCTTTCTGACTACCATTGTAAACTGGGTATATGTATTTTGTTTAGTTAAACAGGTGTTCAAGTAGAAAGATTTTTTTTGAAATCGATCCTTTCTAACTGTTAGGATTTTGATTAGAAGATGCTGGTTTGCATTGTATAGACATTACAATCCTAATCCTCTACTATAGAAAATCAGTGGCAAAACGCATTGATTTCATTGGTGAACAATCTGGCCTTATAATAGCATAAACCAGGCTTTATGATCCAGTTATGAAAATGTATTGGGGAAATTTATTATAGGAATACTTTTCAGGGGAAGAGCAGTTACACTTACTACCCACTTTCTTACATTGTTGGAAAGCATTTGGCCTTTGTGTGCCTTACAATATGACTGCAGCCTGCGAGTGTCCAGTAAAATTGCACAATGTCATGTATACCACTATCTTGCTGTCACAACTTCCACTGCCATAAGTGTGTATGTGAATGTCTCACTAAGGTGACTGTTGAAAGGTAGTGTAGTTGATTATGGGATCAGTGCAGTGGTAATCTGAAACATGTGAAAGGAGACCCTTCTCTGCTGTGCCTCTTAGTGCTGAAAATGTTTCTGCTATAGCTACGCACTTCTTGACAAATAAAACTCTTCGGTGCTGTATAGGAATAAAAAGGGGCAACTATAGACATGCATATGGGTGTATCATGTAGATCATGTTAAAGCTGCCTAGCCACATAGACATCAGGTGAGCCTCTTCCACTAGAGTCTTTCGTTTTTAGATTTGAATGTTGGCGATGAAAGTAATGTTTACAGAACTCCTGTGCCCGAAGAGGAAGACCCAATACTGGGCCACATTCTCCTCTGTTATGTTTGTCTCCCTACTGGAATCAGTGGGGTTTCCGCTGGGGTAACTGAACAAAGTGAAACCTCCTTTTTCGTGCTAATGACTAGGGGTTTTTTGCTTGCTTTAGTAAAATCTAATTCTGATACAACAACTTTGCTTTTAGTCACTAGACTCCAAGTAAGGGATGAAGTTTGGACATGAGTACTAAACACCTGTTGCGAGTACACTTCTCTTAGAGTAGGAAGTCTGAATATATGATCTGCAGTCCAGCATATTTTCAGATGGTCTGCCTGGGAAGCAGTAATTTTCATTACAATTTGTATGTATATTTTATTTCCACTATCTCAGTGGATCTCAAATTATGGTCTATGGAGTATCAGGTGACCACAGAATGGCATGCTTTGTAAAGCAAGCAGTGGGATATTTTGGGGACGTAGAGGCCTAGGAGAAAAAAATGCTCCAAGTGGTCTGTAGAATGAAACTGTTGAGCACTGCATCTTGAGCCTAGTACTTCTCAGTTTAGTTTCTTTATTACAGTTAATAATGCTGTATTGCATATCATTCTCTCTGTGTGGTTACTGGTGTGTGCATAGAGTTCATCTACTTCCTTCTCACTCGATAGTGAGAGAAGACCTGCAAATACCTGTTTTGTGTTCTGCAGATTGATTATTTCAACAACCAAATCATTGTGGATCTGGTGGAACAGCAGCACAAAGGGATCATTGCCATTCTGGATGATGCCTGTATGAATGTTGGAAAAGTCACCGATGAGATGTTCCTTGAAGCACTGAATAACAAACTGGGGAAACATGCTCATTTCTCCAGCAGAAAGGTAACCTGTTCGTCCGTGTAATCAGAACCTACGTCTCTCCACATGCAGCTCACGCTGTATCATTCTAAGTGGGATAAGGAAAAGGACTCACACAGTGACTGGAATAGAGGAAGGCCCTTTTCTAGAATAGAACTTAGATGTCTGCTGCACATGGTATTTCTATACTTATGTGGCCAATCAAGTTCTCTAGCTTAGAATTAATGAATGAATGAATGCTATAATGGTTTGTATCCAGAAGAGGGAGCTAAAGTATGATCAATGCTATAGATTTTATTTCAAGGGAAAAACGGGAAAGCATGAACTTGTCTTGACATATGATGTCATTTATAACCAATAAGTGCACGGTTCCAGTTCATGTGACTGTTCCCTACAAAACCAGCTTTAATATGCTGTGGCAGTGAAAATGGCTCACATTTCTGCTTTATTACAGCTATGTAATCTTCACCCTCAGTGGCTAAAAACATGCTCATTTAAATTGTATCCATAGTCCTCCAGACCCTTTGATTTGCTTTGTTTTTGGTATGACAACCAGTTAAAAGATTTTGTCACCTGGTAATATTTTAAAAATATGGGCACTGGCCTGATAAATTTGAGAACCACTCACATTGAATAATCCAATAATGTCCTTTAATTTATTGATGTTTTTTCACTGAGAAATAGTATTTGAAATCTGTTCATTAGAATACTGTCTTCACCACTGCACAGCTTTGTATATAAGGTAGGAGTATCTTCGTAGCAGTCTTTAGCACATTTCTTAGACAAGTATATCTCCAGAGACTCTGAATTCAAACAGTAGAAAGAGCTGGATCTGGCTTGTTTTAGTGAAGAATGGAAATGGAAGTAAAATAAAAAGATTTTCATTCCGCTATGGCTTATTCTTAAGTACACTTCACTTGGAGTGTAACCTGTCAGCTAAACTGCCATATACAATTTTTTGGTAAACAACGAACAATATTTTCGCTGTCAGCACTAAGCTGCGGGATTGCTGTGTAGTTAAGGTAGGGGCATATGTTATGAGTACTTCAAATCTTATGAGTAAATGGCAGTGAATTTACTCAGTATATTGAAGTGTTATGTCTGTCATGCATAATTGAGGCTAGTGAATTTGGATGCAAATTCTTTCCGTTGTTAATAATGGTTTTGAATGGTGCTAGTCTCAGGGGCTTTGGGAATGAAGTCTTATATTTTCAGAACAGGTATAGCAAGGGCACCAATAGTCCAGATTTCCAGTGCTACCCTACCAATATACTTAAACCCAAGGGAAGATCATTCTCTGTGACCTGTTCGTTCCTAGGTCTCTTCTATTCTGAGACCACCAGCAAGTGGCTATGCATGGAGGCGAGCGCTGTTGGTATAGTGTGCTGGTGTGAGGGGAAGTGAATTTGACAATGAGTGAGGGGCTATAAATGGAAAAGCCACAACTGACTGAACCACTGGCTTCAGAACATTCCTTGTATAGGGAACATTCAACAGTATGATGTAGTGCTAATATCAGTATTCCTCAGCAGGGAGCGGTATCGTCAGGAAATTCTATATTAGCACAGACTGAAGGAGAAAACAAGGAATACAAAAATAAATGAGCACTTCCGCATGTGTAGACGGTTATATGAATTACTGATGGAAAAACAATCATATCAGATAGTGTAAATCAATATTACCTTGAAGGTTTTAACCCATAAAATCCTCAGCATCTTGTTTCTTCTTCTTCTGACCTCTTGTACCCCTGCAAATAACATTCTTCTCACTAATACCTAAAATATCTTGTTTACTGGCTGTTGCTTCCTCCAGTTACCACCCAATAAAAGTCTGAGTTGTTTCCACCTTCATATTTTAAGTTACAAATAAAGACCTGGTTTCATTTTGCTTCCACTTATTTACTTGGCTTTGTGGACTGCAGTTAAAATACTGTGGTGTCTGTCAGGTAAAGTCTTAACATAATTACTGTGTAAATTAAAGATATTGAGGAAGATGTTCTTAAAGAGTTAAAATACATGTGCTGATATGTTCTGGGAATAGCTCCTGTTTTCCTGCCTCACGGTTAATGCTTCACTGCCCCCCTCTACAGTATGTTGCACTCCACATCAGTGTGAATAAGCTCTAAGGGGCTGCTGTGCCCTAAATAGTCGTGTCCTAGTTTATGTACTGCATATCTAATCTATTGCTTTCTGCTTGGTTGTCCTGGTTATTCTGGTGAAACCTAGATAGACTAGAATAAATACAAGATTTTCACTGTGGCAATAAATAAACAGCAAAAATGTATTATTCACAGAGCAAAAAATGTAGATCTTTTAGAGACTTTCTTCTCAGTCACCTAATAACATAGTTCTGTATGAAAATTAACTATTGCTCACAACACTTGTGATGTACGTAGCAAAGTATTATCAATGAGCAAGGGTTTGTCTTACATTCAGTTTTGTAATTGATTCATCTTGTGTGTGTAAGAGGGTCAGGTGCACTGATGGGTAACCATCAGTGAATTCCTAAATAAACTTTAAATGTCTGGAGATTCTCAGAGGGCAGGTAAAGTACTAAAGCTCACAGTGAGTGGGTGGCAGAGGTGCTATTACAACTTAGTACCATGCTCACTCTTTGACCATGGTGCCTTTTATTCATTTCAGTTGTAGTTTGTGTTTAGAACTAGCAAGGTTTAGGTATACAGGTATAAACATTCCCTATTTACATCTATCAGCTAATATACTAAGGCAGTAAAACTTAAATACATACACATGCCATTAATACATTCAGACGTACTTCCGCCATGAATCACTGAATGCAGTGATTCTCAGCATTAATATTAACAATACGTGACTAATGCCATAGTCCTATAGCTGATTTGGGATGAAATTTACTCATTGCATAAATCCTATATACTTCGGCGTTGTTCTCGAACTCATGCTCATTAGAGTCCACGTTGAGTAAACTAAAGCCAAGGTTAGCATATCAGTCAACATTCTTAGTGAACTGGTTACACCAGAATGTGGTGGAGACCTGTCCATTCCATAATCGACAGCAATAGCACTTTGCTATTCCTTTGCTGTATGTGCCTATGCAGTGTGGTCAGGATCCCCTCACGCAAAGAAACTGGACCCTGTACTTAATGCTGCCTGCCGCTATATTACAGGATGCCTTAAGCCTACTCACGTCAACAGCCTCTACGCCCTTGCAGGTATTGCTCCTCCTAATGTACACTGGGAAATTGCTAAGAGTGCAGAAGGCAATGCACAGATCCAAGACATCCGCTATATGATATAACACTGATGCTGAGTTGACTGAAGTCACAACAAAGTTTTCTTGCCACCATTAAACCCCTAACATTGTTGCCCAAACAGACAAGGTTTCAGTTATGGCAAATGAGTAGAGAATGACCCTGTAGCCTCTGTGCTCTGGCTCCCATCAGTGGAGCGCCTGCCACCCAATGCAGCTCAGCCCTGGGTATACAGCATTGTGTTAATCAACTCCACACTGGAGTCTGCCAGTCTAGAGATGCAATGGTAAAATGGGGCTATGTTACTGGCCCCAATACCTGTGACTGAAAGACTCAAAATATAATGAAGCATCTCCTGCAGTGCCAGTTCCTTGACCATGAATGCTCTTCCAGTGAGCTGGCAGAGTGCAATGATCAGGCAATTGCATGTGCCTGGATGTGGCAGAAAACAGTATGAGGACGCAAGAAGAAGTTCCCATAGTTAACCAGTTGAGCAGTTTATAGTGCTACCACAACTATGCCACTTCAAGGCTGTGACTTTCACACAGCTGATGTATTTAGTTTCCTGGGAGGATGGGTGCTGTTGGACATCTGTCAAACCACGAAGTAACATTAGCACTGCTTGTCTGAGGGTATGTCTACATTACAAAACCATGTTGACCTAAGTTACGTTGACGTACAGCTACTGCAGTAATTAAATCGCTTTTACACGTCCACACTACGCTCCTTGTGTTGGCGGCGTGCATCCTTACCAGGAGCACTTGCACCAGTTTAACTCTCAGTGTGGGGTATTGTGCAACGTCTTCTGAAAGGCAGCAACAGTCGATGTCAGCAACAAGTGTCTGTGCTGAAACTGCATCGACCTGAGCGCTATGCCTCTCATGGAAGTGAAGTTAAGTCAGCATAGTGGGCGAGTTACATCGGCAGGAGCGATGTTTTAGTGTAGAGGCTTACAGTGTTAGGTCCATGTAAGTTGCCTTGCATCAGCCTAACTCTGTAGTGTAGACCAGTTCTGAGAGAGGTAGCAGTTTACTTTTGAACTTGATATGTATTTTGAAGGCCAAATAGCCAGCAGAAAAGGATAAGATGTGAACTGAGAGAGGTTTTAAAAAGAAGGAAACTGCTTTTCTGCAATCCTGTACTGTCAGTCATTTCTCAAATTTTCTTGGCCAGACTTGGCTTCCTAAATATTTCTAAAAAGAAAAGGGGTACTTGTGGCACCTTAGAGACTAACCAATTTATTTGAGCATGAGCTTTTGTGAGCTACAGCTCACTTCATCGGATGCATACCGTGGAAACTGCAGCAGACTTTATATATACACAGAGAATATGAAACAATACCTCCTCCCACCCCACTGTCCTGCTGGTAATAGCTTATCTAAAGTGATCAACAGGTGGGCCATTTCCAGCACAAATCCAGGTTTTCTCACCCTCCACCCCCCCACACAAATTCACTCTCCTGCTGGTGCTAGCCCATCCAAAGTGACAACTCTTTACATAATCAAGTCGGGCTATTTCCTGCATAGATCCAGGTTTTCTCACATCCCCCCCACCCCCATACACACACAAACTCACTCTCCTGCTGGTAATAGCTCATCTAAACTGACCACTCTCCAAGTTTAAATCCAAGTTAAACCAGAACATCTGGGGGGGGGGGTAGGAAAAAACAAGAGGAAACAGGCTACCTTGCATAATGACTTAGCCACTCCCAGTCTCTATTTAAGCCTAAATTAATAGTATCCAATTTGCAAATGAATTCCAATTCAGCAGTTTCTCGCTGGAGTCTGGATTTGAATTTTTTTTGTTTTAAGATGTGAGAGAACCTGGATTTATGCAGGAAATAGCCCGACTTGATTATGTAAAGAGTTGTCACTTTGGATGGGCTAGCACCAGCAGGAGAGTGAATTTGTGTGGGGGGGTGGAGGGTGAGAAAACCTGGATTTGTGCTGGAAATGGCCCACCTGATGATCACTTTAGATAAGCTATTACCAGCAGGACAGTGGGGTGGGAGGAGGTATTGTTTCATATTCTCTGTGTATATATAAAGTCTGCTGCAGTTTCCATGGTATACATCTGATGAAGTGAGCTGTAGCTCACGAAAGCTCATGCTCAAATAAATTGGTTAGTCTCTAAGGTGCCACAAGTACTCCTTTTCTTTTTGCGAATACAGACTAACACGGCTGTTACTCTGAAACCTGTCATTACCCCGACCTGGGATATTCTATCTACTACCCAAGATCCATAAACCTGGAAATCCTGGGCGCTCCATCATCTCAGGCATTGGCACCCTGACAGCAGGATTGTCTGGCTATGTAGACTCCCTCCTCAGGCCCTACGCTACCAGCACTCCCAGCTACCTTCGAGACACCACTGACTTCCTGAGGAAACTCCAATCCATCGGTGATCTTCCTGATAACACCATCCTGGCTACTATGGATGTAGAAGCCCTCTACACCAACATTCCACACAAAGATGGACTACAAGCCGTCAAGAACACTATCCCCGATAATGTCACGGCTAACCTGGTGGCTGAACTTTGTGACTTTGTCCTTACCCATAACTATTTCACATTTGGGGACAATGTATACCTTCAGATCAGCGGCACTGCTATGGGTACCCGCATGGCCCCACAGTATGCCAACATTTTTATGGCTGATTTAGAACAACGCTTCCTCAGCTCTCGTCCCCTAAAGCCCCTACTCTACTTGCGCTATATTGATGACATCTTCATCATCTGGACCCATGGAAAAGAAGCCCTTGAGGAATTCCACCATGATTTCAACAATTTCCATCCCACCACCAACCTCAGCCTGGTCCAGTCCACACAAGAGATCCACTTCCTGGACACTACAGTGCTAATAAACAATGGCCACATAAACACCACCCTATACCGGAAACCTACTGACCGCTATTCCTACCTGCATGCCTCCAGCTTTCACCCTGACCACACCACACGATCCATCGTCTACAGCCAAGCTCTGCGATACAACCGCATTTGCTCCAACCCCTCAGACAGAGACAAACACCTACAAGATCTCTGTCAAGCTTTCTTACAACTACAATACCCACCTGCAGAAGTAAAGAAACAGATTGATAGAGCCAGAAGAGTTCCCAGAAGTTACCTACTACAGGACAGGCCTAACAAAGAAAATAACAGAACGCCACTAGTGGTCACCTTCAGCCCCCAACTAAAACCCCTCCAACGCATTATTAAGGATCTACAACCTATCCTAAAGGATGACCCAACACTCTCACAAGTCTTGGGAGACAGGCCAGTCCTTGCCTACAGACAGCCCCGCAACCTGAAGCAAATACTCACCAACAACCACATACCACACAACAGAACCACTAACCCAGGAACTTATCCTTGCAACAAAGCCCGTTGCCAATTGTGCCCACATATCTATTCAGGGGACACCATCACAGGGCCTAATAACATCAGCCACACTATCAGAGGCTCGTTCACCTGCACATCCACCAATGTGATATATGCCAGCAATGCCCCTCTGCCATGTACATTGGTCAAACTGGACAGTCTCTACGTAAAAGAATAAATGGACACAAATCAGATGTCAAGAATTATAACATTCATAAACCAGTCGGAGAACACTTCAATCTCTCTGGTCACGCAATCACAGACATGAAGGTCGCTATCTTAAAACAAAAAAACTTCAAATCCAGACTCCAGCGAGAAACTGCTGAATTGGAATTCATTTGCAAATTGGATACTATTAATTTAGGCTTAAATAGAGACTGGGAGTGGCTAAGTCATTATGCAAGGTAGCCTGTTTCCTCTTGTTTTTTCCTACCCCCCCCCCCCCCCCCCCCCCCCAGATGTTCTGGTTTAACTTGGATTTAAACTTGGAGAGTGGTCAGTTTAGATGAGCTATTACCAGCAGGAGAGTGAGTTTGTGTGTGTATGGGGGTGGGGGGGATGTGAGAAAACCTGGATTTATGCAGGAAATAGCCCGACTTGATTATGTAAAGAGTTGTCACTTTGGATGGGCTAGCACCAGCAGGAGAGTGAATTTGTGTGGGGGGGTGGAGGGTGAGAAAACCTGGATTTGTGCTGGAAATGGCCCACCTGATGATCACTTTAGATAAGCTATTACCAGCAGGACAGTGGGGTGGGAGGAGGTATTGTTTCATATTCTCTGTGTATATATAAAGTCTGCTGCAGTTTCCACGGTATGCATCCGATGAAGTGAGCTGTAGCTCACAAAAGCTCATGCTCAAATAAATTGGTTAGTCTCTAAGGTGCCACAAGTACTCCTTTTCTTTTTGCGAATACAGACTAACACGGCTGTTACTCTGAAACCTAAATATTTCTGCTGGCAAGCACTTATTAGGTTGACAGGATGCAAAAAGCCAGGCTAGTGCTTCTTAAATACATAGGAAGAAAAGATATAAAACCAACTAAGGGTTTGAGATGGACCTTATTAGGCCCTTCCACAAGGGACCAAACAAAACTAAAAAGAACACCCTTAAAAATGAAGCCAGTGCACCATCTTAAAAATTGTAGTCAGATTGGATTATCCTTCATGTGTGCAGCATGGCTACTGGATGGTCTAGCCTTGTGGTCTTGTGCTTGTAACTAGTGTGCAGTCATTTTCATTTCTTTGCTAGTTCCAGCTTTTTAAGGAAAACTGGGCTAAAACTATTTGCATTTTCTTTTAGATGCTAGTGACTCCTATGTTGTGGGCTGTTTATGTATCTTCTTTGCAGCACAGTAGTCTAACAGCATATTAAGAGTGTTCTATGGCAACAGGGATAGAGCAATAGCTTTAGTCGCTATTGAGCACCCTGTGGTTAATCACTGACTAGCAGAGCTGTGAAAGTTCTAGCTTGTGTGTTTATTGGCTGCCAGGTATTCGTGGGATCTCATCCTCAAAGGAAACCTGCACAACACTTCAAAAGATGAGCCTGAGACTTAAATTCATAACTTTGCTATACACTTTGAAAATCATGGACTGAATAGACACTGGGTTTGTGACTTATTACAATAATCTATAACCCACTTACACCCCCTGCCCCCAGTTTCTTTTTTTCCCCCTCCCTTCCTTTCCACCTATGATTGGAGGGGTGTTAATGGGCCACTTCACCTTGAACGGTCCCTTTAAATGTTTGACTGCTTATACTAAACAATCTGTTACACCTTGTATTTAGCTGTGATGTTCTGAGTATGTTTCCCAGACCAGAAGAAGAGCTCTGTGTAAGCTCGAAAGGTAGTCTCTTTCACCGACAGAAGTTAGTCCAATAAAAGATATTTCATCACCCACCATGTCTCTCTAAATATTGGTGGGACAGATTGACTGATGCTTTTTAAATACCTTACACTTCATTCAGTCATCCTGAGTTAGTGATACCATGGTATGTTGATTTGGAGGTGATTATGTCATGAAGGAATAAATATGAGCAGATGGGGAACACAAGACCAAGCAGTTCTGTTTCCATGCACATATCCTTATTAATAAAAAAAGGAACAGTTTTTGGAGGTGTCAGTGACTATTTAATTTTAAAAAAATCTGGATCTTAAAACATGGTTTATTTTTATGTCCCTGTGTTTTTATTTATCCAAAAAAATCTAGATAGAGTACATGATGACTTGTGTCTGTAGAAAATAGAGTAATTTTACAATTCTGATTTGTTGTAATACAAGGTGAAATCTAAAAGCTGCTGTGCCCTGAAATTTGTGGAATTTCAATGCTTACACGTAATGCCTTCCTTTTTAATAAATGTGTGATTTATTTTAGCTTTGTGCGACAGACAAGATCCTGGAGTTTGATAGAGACTTTCGGATTAAGCACTACGCAGGAGACGTTATGTGAGTGTTTTCTTTCTGTAATAGAAGGTGCACCTTCTACTTGTTCTTGTCCAGCTTTAACCTACATTGTGTTCTCATTTCTATGTGATAAATGCAACAGATTTAAAATAAAATTCAGTGTCACACTTGTTCTTGCTACATATATGGTCTTCTTGGAAGTTAGGGAATATGAAGAGTGGAGGAGGAAAAATGAAGTTTCCCAAGAGAAGCTTAGGTCTTGTCTACACAAGAAAGTTGTACTGACCTAAGAAATCTGTTTAGTGCCATATCAATTTAGCTTAAATGGATAAAGAATCAGTTTAAGATTAATTGAATTAAAATAGTGCACCCTTAAACTGAAACAAGAGTGTTCACACAACGAGCGTGCATCAGTCTAACTAAATCTCCATAGGGGTTTTTCTACACTTAAAATTTTTTACCCAAAGTAGCTATTTTCGAATAATTATTTTTGGATGTGGATTAAGTTAAATTGGACAAAAGCACTCGTATTCCAGAATAAGAGTGTTGACATGGAAAGTTACTCCAGAATAAATATTCTGGCATATTTCTTGGTGTAGACAAACCCTAAAAGAATCATTAAACCAGTCCAACTTTCTTCTATAGACAATACCCGAAGCTTGTTAATGATGGAACAATTTGGTGACCAATCCAGGCTTTATGGAGTCCACTAAGTGAAGGTGGATTTCTTGTGAAGTCTCTTTTGAATATAGTGTTATTGATAGACACAGCTGACAGGGGTTGGTCCTGCTCTGAGCAGAGGGTTGGAGTAGATGACCTCCTGAGGTCTCTTCCCAACCCTAAGCTTCTGTGATTCTGAAACAGCCAAATTTCTCTGGTAGTTTAGGGAAAAAGAATGAGGTGATACCTCTGTGGTTGAAACTTGTGCACTGCTAGTGGCTTGCAAATCTAAGAGGACAGAAGTGAATTGTGAAAGCACCTGCAGGCAGTACTAGAGCCCATAGTTTGCTGGATGAAATAATTCTTATTGCTTCTCATCTGTAGATTTAAAAATGCATTCTCAAATTAGGGAAGCATTCTTCCCATTCTAAAGAAGGAGAAATTTAGGCACATAAAGGAAGTGATTTAACCCAAAAGGTTATACAGCAAGTTAGTGACAGATCGGAGAATGAGCTTGTCCCTTGTCTCCCAGTCCCACCCATCGACCACATTTCTTCCCTTGTATGTGATTCCATGTTGGTGCACATAGGCTTTTTCTTCCAAATACCCAAATATTTGACCTCTGTGCAACTGACTGTTTTTCTCTTTCACAGATATTCAGTCACAGGATTTATTGACAAAAACAAGGACACTTTATTCCAAGACTTCAAACGCCTAATGTATAACAGGTAGGAACAAAGCTTTGATCAGCCAACCTGTTTTGTACACTATTTTATATTATGCCAAAATATTTTGTTATAGTCTAGTTCATAGAATTTTAAGACTAGAAGGACCTTTATGATCATCTAGTATGACATCATGAATACCCAGGCTAGAGAATTTCACCCAGTAACTTTTGCATAAAGCCCATAATTTCTGAATGAGCTAGAACATAACTTTTGTAGGATGACATCCAATCATAATTTAAAGGTTTCAAGTGATTGAAAATCCACCAGATTGCCAGGTAAACTGTTTCAATGGTTAATTACCCTCACTGTAAACAAATTGCACCTCCTCTCTAGTCTGAATTTGTCTAATTTCAGCATCTAGCCATTAGATCTTCTTATGCCTATGTCTGTTGGATTAAGGAGCTCTTTTACAATAGGAAATCTTTCCCCCATGTAGACCTTGATCAAATTACCTCTTAATCATCTCTTGGATGAACTGTCTATATTGAGTTTCTTTAGTCTCTTGTTGTAAAGCAGGTTTTCTAGACCTCACATCATTCTTGTAGCTCTTTTCTGAACCCTTTCCAATTTGTCAGCATCCATTTTGACGTGTGGGGACGAACAGAGAATAAGTATGCCAGTAATGGTCTCACTAATGTTTTCTACAGCGGTAATAGCTCCTCCTTACTTGTCAGTATCCCCCCTGCTTATGCATCAAAGGATCACATTAGCTACCTCAACTGCCAAGCTACAGTAGAAGTTCATGTTCAGTTGATTATCCACCATGATTCTAAGCCCCTTCCAGAGGTGCTGCTTTCCAGGATCCAGTCCCCCATCCCATCTATTCGGCCGTATTAAAATGCATGCTTAAACCCAACTTCCCAGGTGATCCAGGTCACTCTGTACAGCGGACACGTTCTCATAATTTACCATTCCCCCAGTATATATGTCCTTTGCTAACTTGCCAGAAATGATTTAATATTTTCTTTTGAATCACTGATAACTATTGAATAGCATTTAGCCCCAAAACAACTCCGGTGGGACTCTACTGGAAGCAGCCCCATTGATGGAGTCTCCATTTATAATTTTTCTGGCATCTGCCAGCTAGTTTTAATTCATTAAATGTGCTACATTGATTCTGTATAATGTCAGTTTTTAATCAGAATGTCATATATATTTCAAGACAGTTACCTTTGTCAGCCAAACTTGTAATCTTATCAAACCGTGGTACCAAGTTAGTTTCACAAGACATGTTTTCCATAAAATCATGTTGATGTGCATCAGTTATTCTGCCATTCTTACTGAGTGCATCCCATATCATCTGCCTTCCGGTGATTTTGCCCACAGTCAGTCAGGCTAACCAACCTGTGGTTACCTGGGTCATCCTATTTGCCTGTTTTAAATACTGATACATTAGCTTTTTTCCAGTCCTCTGCAACTTCCCCAATATTCCAAGATTTGTCAAATAACAAAAGTCTCTCAGAGAGCTCATCTGCCAATTCCTTAAAGATGTGATGAATAATATTGTCAGACATATAGATGAACATAATCTGTTGAGGAAGAGTCAACATGGTTTTAGTAAAAGGAAATCATGCCTCACCAATCTACTAGAATTCTTTGAGGGGGTCAACAAGCATGTGGACCAAGGGGATCCAGTGAATATAGTATACTTAAATTTTCAGAAAGCCTTTGACAAGGTCCCTCACCAAAGGCTCTTACACAAAGTAAGCTGCCACGGGATAAGAGGGAAGGTGCTCTCATGGATTGGTAACTGGTTAAAGATAAGAAACAAAGGGTAGGTATAAATGGTTAGTTTTCAGAATGGAGAGAGGTAAATGGTGGTGTCCCCCAGGGGTCTGTTCTGGGCCCAGTCCTATTCAACATATTCATAAATGATCTGGAAAAAAGGGTAAATAGTGAGGTGGCAAAATTTGCAGATGCGAAGAGCTACAAAAGGGTCTCTCAAAACTGGGTGACTGGGCAACAAAGTGGCAGATGAAATTTAATGTTGATAAATGCAAAGTAATGCACATTGGAAAGAATAATCCCAGCTATACATATAAAATGATGGGGGTCTAACTTAGCTGTTACCACTCAAGAAAGAGATCTTGGAGTCAATGTGGATAGTTCTCTGAAAACATCCACTCAATGTGCAGCGGCAGTCAAAAAAGTGAACAGAATGCTGGGAATAATTAAGAAAGGGATCGATAATAGGACAGAAAATATCATGTTGCCTCTATATAAATCCATGGTACGCCCACATCTTGAATACTGTGTGCAGATGTGATCGCCCCATCTCAAAAAAGATATATTGGAAAAGGTTCAGAAAAGGGCAGCAAAAATGATTAGGAGTATGGAATAGCTTCCGTATGAGGAGAGATTAATAAAACTGGGACTTTTCAGCTTGGAAAAGAGACTGCTAAGGAGAAAGATGATTGAGGTCTATAAAATCATGACTGGTGTAGAGAAAGTAGATAAGGAAGTGTTGTTTACTACTTCTCATGACACAAGAACTAGGGGTCACCAAATGAAATGAATAGGCAGCAGGTTTAAAACAAACAAAAGGAAGTATTTCTTCACAAAACGCACAGTCAACCTGTGGAACTCTTTGCCAGAGGATGTTGTGAAGGCCAAGACTATAACAGGGTTGAAAAAAGAACTAGATAAGTTCATGGAGGATAGGTCCATCAATGGCTACTAGCCAGGATGGGCAGGAATGGTGTCCCTAGCCTCTGTTTGCCAGAAGTTGGGAATGGGCGACAGGGGATGGATCACTTGATGATTCCCTGTTCTGTTCATTCCCTCTGGGGCCACTGTCGGAAAACAGGATACTGGGCTAGATGGACCTTTGGTCTGACCCACTAGGGCCATTCTTATGTTCTAAGTTATCTGACCTTACAGATTTAAAAATGTTTAACTTTGGTAGATGCTGTTTAACACCCTGCCCATTTACTGTTAGAATAGAAAGCATTTCATTTTCACTGAAAGATGTGATTCCACCTTCTAGCTTGTTTCCAAACACAGGAGAGAAATATTAATGAGCACTTCTGTTTTTTCTACCTCATTATTAACAACTGTGTCATTCCTGTCTAATAATGGACCTATACTACTGCTTGGATTTTTTGTTGTTCCTGATTTTTTAAATATAATTTCTTACTGTCCTGGCCCTACTAGCCACAGATTTTTTCATTGGTACCTTTTCTACCTTTACTAATTGTCTGCATTTTATAATTAATTATTTATAATCATTGCTCTCAGCTTCTCCTTTTCTGTTTTTATGAATATTTTAATAGGATTTTTAACTGAAGAAGACTTTAGCGTCTGGAATTGAGTGTTTTTGGCACCTAAGTCAGCAGTTGTCTAAGAATACTTTATTTTTGCACATCTGTGTTTTTGTTTGTTTTTCTACCCACAGTTTTTCTTGTTTTCAAGCTTTGAGAGACTGGCCCTTTTTATAGTGTCAAATATATATCACTGGTTTGGGCTGTATTCTGTTGGCACATGAATGTAACCAATCATTCCATATAAGCAACAACTAATTTTTACGTATCAGTCATCTTTATCCATCAGAAAGAGTTATTATATAAAGTTACCTTTAGATGGGTGTAATACTTCCTGTGCTAGAAAATTATCTATAATTCTTAGAAACTCATAGGATGCTTTACTAATGGCAGCATGAGACTGCAGCATGTGTCCCTCTGACTGAAATCCCCCAGGATAATGCTGCTTTTCTTTCTACACATTATAGATCTATATTTTAAGGAATTGTTCATCCTGTTTTCTGTCCTAGTCATCTATTATAGACCCCAGACCAATACTCCATGTTGTGACTTATCAGTTGATACTGTACATTGATTCATAAGCATTCCAGGTCTCTCACTTCTGAAGTGTCTATCTCTGAAGATGGTAATGGCACCCCTTTTCTGCCCACTCTGTTCTGCGTAAATAGGTTGTCTGTTATGGTTTTTAACTTACTGATCATGTGACTCCTCTGAGATTTCAGTAATACCAATTATGTCAAATTTTTTCATAAACCAGCATTTCTGATTTCTCCTCGCATCCATATATAGGCGGTTAAAATTTTTTTCTCTGTGTCCCTTAACTTCTTGATTCTTTATATTCATGATGCCTTGAGTATGACTTGTTTATATTTGTAATTGTTACTCTTTCATAGCTTCTCCTTTTTGTTGCTAGTTTAATGCCCAGCCTACTAGTCAAGCTAATCTGTCACCAGGAGTGTTGCTTCTCCTGCTGCTGAGGTGGAGGCTTTCCAAACCAAACAGCCTCATCTCCCCAAAGAAGGGGGCCCAATGTTCCATGAACCCAAACCTTCTACTTTACTCCACTTACCCAGCAGCAGTTTACATCCATTATCTTCTGTTTATCTTGTCTTGCTTGTGAGGCAGAAAAGATCTCTCCAAGACAACCACCTGTACTTTCCTCTCCCACAGCTCCCTTTTATAATGCCCCCGATGGATCAGCTATGGATCAGTCTTGTTAAAGGCATGAATTTAACTGTGACTTTGTTTATTTTTACCCTGTATTTCTGATTGAGTAACGTAGGTTAAAGTTTAAAATTGGTTTGGAATGTTTTTGGCTTTATTTTCAATACAAGTATCACTTGTGCAGGATATATTAGTTTGGAATAAAATACTATGCATCTTAAAGGAAGGGGTGGATTATGCAGTGTTTCATATTAATTTCTTAGGTTACTGATCTTAATTTTGGGCCCTCTTTTATGCACATATTTATGCTGGCTAGACTAAGGACTATAAAGAGGAAATCTCTCAAAACCACTTTCCAGTCTACTATTATCTAGCTAGGAGAATGTGTGCTTGCCATACTACCAGTGTATTCAGTAATAACCTTGTACTGTAAATTAATTAACTAATAAACAGTAGAGTTTTGCAGCACCAAACTGATGTACTGGCTTAGCCAATCTGTCAAAAGAACTGGGATTGCCATCAGTCTCTGACCCAGAAGTTAATTGTCTAATTTAGAGCACTGTAAAATTAGTTACTGCCACTGACACCTTGTTAGAATCTTCATAAGTAAACAAACTGCTTCCTCTAACTCTGTCCTTCTAGCTCCAATCCTGTGTTGAAGATGATGTGGCCTGAAGGTAAATTGAGTATCACAGAAGTGACCAAGCGACCCTTGACTGCTGCTACCCTTTTTAAGAACTCCATGATTGCACTAGTAGACAACCTGGCATCTAAGGTAATGAACTGACTGTCTCAAAATAAGTTCTGACTTTGGATTATAGAGATGTGTGGATCCTCTCTGCAGTGTGTCTATGCCTTTCCTGGTTTAGAGTTCCAAGTTTATCTGTCATATTATTTTTGCCTCCAGTTGAAGTCCCGTTATAGAGGACACCAGTCATAAGTAGTTCTTATTACACTAAGCAAATACTCCTTGCCTTTAGCAAAGCTCTTGATGTTTATGGAGTGTAAATGCTGAGAAGTATCCTCTTTTTTTTAATTTGTCTTCCAATACAAGGCGTGACGTGTGTGGAAGCAAAGTAGGGAAAGGGGAGGTGGTTCTAACCTGAAATCTAGTTGGCTTGGAAAATGCAGCCCTAGGTCGAGACATTCAGACTAGTGGCGGAAGTCAGAATGCGGATACTGCAGTGCAGCACTTGAACATCAGGATACTGTTGCATTGTGTGGTTGAGAGAGCATTTAGAATGTATCGGCGTCTGGCAATGATTGATACCAGGGAGATTTATAGTATGTTGACAGGAATAGTGAAGGGTGACTGTTCTCAAATAAGGGGACAAGCGACCTTGGAAGCTGCTAAAATATATTCACACACTTAGAATAATGGAAGATGGATCTAACTTTTAGGTTATCCTTTGAAATCCATCCCAAGTCAAAATTCATTAGCTTTTGAAGGCTAAAGTATGCCCAGAATTGGACACAGTACTCAGCCGAGGCCTCACCAGTATTGAATAGAGCAGTTACCTCCTGCGTCTTATGTACGACACTCCTGTTAATATACCCCAGAATTATTAGCCTTTTTTTTTCAACTGTATCACATGGTTCACTCATATTCAATTTGTGATCTACTGTAACCCCCAGATCCTTTTCAGCAGTACTTCCACCTATCTAGTTATTCTCATTTTGTAGTTATGCATTTGACTTTTCCTTCCTAAGTGAAATACTTTTCATTTTATTGAATTTCGTCTTGTTGCATTCAGACCCATTCTCTAATTTGTCAAGGTTGTTTTAAATTCTAATCCTGTCCTCCAAAGTGCTTACAACCCCTCCCAGCTTGGTGTTATCTGTAAATTTTATAAGCACACTCTCCACTCCATTATCCAGGTCATTAATAAAAATATTGAATAGTACTGGACCCAGGACTGACCTCTGTGGGACCCCACTAGATACCCTTTCCCAGTTTGACAGTGAAACATTGACAACTACTCTTTGAGTGTGGATTTTCAACCAGTTGTAATTTATAGTAATGTCATCTAGACCAGTTTTCAGAGTAGCAGCCATGTTAGTCTGTAACTGCAAAAAGAAAAGGAGGACTTGTGGCACCTGAGAGACTAACAAATTTGAGCACAAGCTTTCATGAGCTACAGCTCACTTCATCGGATGCGAATGCATCCGATGAAGTGAGCTGTAGCTCACGAAAGCTTGTGCTCAAATAAATTTTAGTCTCTAAGGTGACACAAGTCCTCCTTTTCTTTTTATCTAGACCAGTGGTTCTCAAACTAGGGCCGCCGCTTGTTCAAGGAAAGTCCCTGGCAGGCTGGGCTGGTTTGTTTACCTGCCACGTCCGCAGTTTCAGCCAATTGCTCTCCCACTGGCTGCGGTTCGCCGCTCCAGCCCAATGGGGGCTTCAGGAAAGGTGACCAGCACATCCCTTGGCCCGCGCCACTTCCCACAGCCCCCATTGGCCCGGGGTGGTGAACCGTAGCCAGTGGGAGCTGCGATTGGCCAAACCTGCGGACGCGGCAGGTAAACAAACTGGCCTGGCCCGCCAGGGGCTTTCCCTGAACAAGCGGCGGCCCTAGTTTGAGAACCACTGATCTAGACCACATTTCACTGGTTTGTTTATGAGAATGTCATGGGCCTTACTAAAATGAGGTTTGCAAACCTTTCATTTTAATCCTACTAAGATCACATTAGGCTAGTTTTTAAGGAGTGTCTCTGTGGCTTTATTAGCCTTGAGACGCATGATAACCCTGCTCCCCACCAATAAAGATGATTGGCTACACAACTCGAACACAGCAATTAAAATACAATTCCTTAACAAGTCAGTTTGAGAACTGTAAAGTACCAATGAGTCTGACCCTCAGGAACCTATTAACAGTCCAAGTTGCTGCTGCCAGAGTTTACTGCATCACTTTAGTCCTTCCTCATTATGGAAAAAGCTGGTCATAAAACTTTGCAGGATCAAGATAATCTTTGCTCCATGTGGCACAGCAAGCAGCCCTGTTGGGACTGACTAATGGTTTTCAGTTTTATCACCTACTTGGATTTATTTGCTGCACTATATTTCAGTTTAAAATTTTTTTTGCCTTCTCTATTTACCTTTGTTTGATGAAACCTGAAACTGAAAGAATTATAGAATACAATACCATATCTAAGTGCTGTTGTACTATACGTTAATTAAATATTCAAGAGTCTTTGTTCCAGACCTTTCTTTTTAAACAGCTTTGGATTCTATATTATACCTGTCTTGTGCAAACATTAACATTGTTTGTTTGTTAGGAGTAGCCTGTGTACCATTTATTAGTCCCAAGCGGATTTGTATGGAGAGCTTTGCATAGATTTAGCTCAGCCATCTAAGGGCTTGTCCACAGTGGCATAATATCCTCTCCAGGGGTGTGATTTCTAAACACAGGGCATGTTAATCTTGCGAAAATGTAACACATTGTTATAGAAGATTGTGATCAATTGTTCTGCATGCCCCCTGGAGGTAGGACAAGAAGTACTGTGGACTTAATGTGCAGCAAGGAAGACTTAGTTTAGATATTAGGAAACCCTTTCTAACTATTATAAGGGTAGTTAAGCTCTGGAATAGGCTTGTAAGAGAAGTTGTGGAATTGCCATCACTGGAGGTTTTTAAGAATAGGTTGGACAAACAGCTGTCAGGGATGGTCTGGCTCTTCTTTGAGTGCTTGCTCATGTCTATTCCATTGTAGGTATGCGCACGCCCACGTGCATGGCTGTCGGAGACTTTTGCCTTAGCGGTACCCGTAGGGCCGGCTGTGGCACCCTCTGGAGTGCTGCACTCATGGTGCGGTGTATCAGGCACCGCCAGCCCTGCACCCTCTCAGTTTCTTCTTACCACCTGTGGTGGTCAGTCGGAGCGCCTCTGTCCCTTGCTTGGCAAATAGTCAGTGGTTTCTCATCTAGCTTAGTCTTGTGCTTTACCTGTAAATAGTTTAATCGTTGTTAGTTCGTTCTTAAGTACCCATTAAGTGTTAGTTAGATAAAGTCCCAGAGGGGACTTTGTCCCCAGCAGGGCATGCCCTCGTCTCCGGGTTTCAAGCCCTGCTCTTCGTGTAACAGACCTATGCCTGTTAGTGACCCATAAGAGAGTTTTCTACAGTGCCTCGGGGAAACCCATATCAAGGAGTGCTATCGCATCTGCCAGAACTTTTGTCTGCAGACACAAAGAGAATGCCGTCGTGATGCAGGCTGTTCTGTGCCCTGCTTCAGAGCTGGCTGTGGTTAGATGTTTATGTTTGTGCTCTCTGTGTGCTGCCCCAGCTCTGCACAGTCAGTCATCACAGTAACCTCGAGCAAACCGCCCAGTGACCACAAGATCCGTTAAGGTATGAAGGCACCAGGCCAGGTTTATTGTTGACAAAGCATGTAATAGCACCTGGCAGACTCTGAAGATACAAAGACATGTATGCCCATGACAATGGACGCAGCTCAGTGAATGGCAGGACCTTCCATTTCCTCCTCGGCTGGACAAAGATATTCCCTCTGAGATGCATCTTTATACCCTGATACAAACAAGTTAGTACTGCCTCTTACATAGTTAATCACTGCCCTCTGATGTGGCTAGTTATCACCTTGTGGTTCAATCAGAACATCTTTATTACATACTGTCATCCTGACTTTATCTTCTAGGAGGGTTCAGTGTGTTCCTGTTATCCTTGGGGAATGTTTTTATACTGTCCTTGATATTGGGATGTGTTTGCTTGAGTATTCTGTGACTAGCACTTCTTAGGAATGTGTATGTTTGCAGTATCAGTCCTGTTCTTGCCAGATTCTGTGAGCAGGTCCTGCCTCATGCCAGGTCTCTGATACAAGGGCTTACGTCTCAGGTTCTCTTCCTACTACAGCAGCGCAGTCCGAGCCGGCAGCCAGTGCTTCAACTTTAGTGTGTAGCGCACCCCTGGCACTGGGATCCTCCTGGCACCGATCCCTGTCACCGGTGCCAAACAAAAAGACTAAGGCGGCGGCACCAAATAAGCCCAACCAAGGGGCTCTGGGCAAAGGACCCTGCTCAGGCCTTATGCCCACTCCAGACCCGCTAAAGAGTTTGACCTTGGGGAGTTTCTCCCCCCCGAAAGGACCTGCCTCTGACTCCGGGGAGCAGTAAAGGGCCTAGGCCAGTGGTGCAGTCATAGAATCATAGAATATCAGAGTTGGAAGGGACCTCAGGAGGTCATCTAGTCCAACCCCCTGCTCAAAGCAGGACCAATCCCCAGTTTTTGCTCCAGATCCCTAAATGGCCCCCTCAAAGATTGAACTCACAACCCTGGGTTTAGCAGGCCAATGCTCAAACCACTGAGCTATCCCTCCCCCCCAAAAAGAGGACCAATCCCCAATTTCCTAAATGGCCCCCTCAAGGATTGAACTCACAACCCTGGGTTTAGCAGGCTAATGCTCAAACCACTGAGCTATCCCTCACCCCCAGGTAGTTGAAAGCAGCTATCAAATCCCCCCTCATTCTTCTCTTCCATAGTCTAAACATAGATTCATAGATATTAAGATCAGAAGGGACCATTATGATCATCTAGTCTGACTTCCTGCACAATGCATGCCACAGAGTCTCACTCCTGCGATAAACCTCTCACCTATGTCTGAGCTATTGAAGTCCTCAAATCATGGTTTAAAGACTTCAAGGAGCAGAGAATCCTCCAGCAAGCAACCCGTGCCCCATGCTACAGAGGAAGACGACTAACCTCCAGGGCCTCTTCCAATCTGCCCTGGAGGAAAATTCCTTTCTGACCCCAAATATGGTGATCA